ACCACCCACCCCAGTCCTCATGCTTACTGATAGGAGCTGCAGCCCATCATCTGTGCCCACAGTTTCCCTACTTGGCCCACTCCCAGCCCCAGATCTTGTGCTTTCCAGGTGGTTCTGCAGTCTAGCCTGACAGGACTTGCCCCCATTTCTGGCACTTGCCAGCTGATGCTGCAATAAAGCCCAGCCAGCCTACACTTACTTTGGCTCATGCGTGTATCAGTGGATACAGTTGCTTAGCCTAGCCTGGCTCTTCCCCTAATCCAGCTCATTTATAGCCCAAAAGGTGTGGTAGCCTTGCCTAGCCCAGTCTTCATGCTCACCAGCAGAAGCAGTGGCCCAGCAGGGGAGCCTCTACAGCCCTCCCCTGCGAAGGCTCATCTCCCCAACCCGAAGTCTTGCATGTGCTTGTGGGGGCTGTGGCCCAGGTTAGGCAAGGTCCACCTCACCTCAGCATTCACTTCCCAGCCAAGTGGACACTCTAAAGTCTGTTGAGTGACAGAAAACTTCTAGAAGATATTTTCAGTCCCACTTGGGTGGTATTTACAAAGAAGTGGCAAGAACACAAACCATTCCAAAGGGTCATATGGTTCTTCCTTAACAATTAAAAACAGAACATCCAGAAGACAAAGAATATCCTTAGAGTTTGACTAGAGATTGAAATCTGTTAACTTCCTAGCATTGGTATGAACTCAGACATGGAATCCCTCCTCCCTGGGCCTTGGTGTCATCTGCAAAATGGGAAACATAGTACCTACCTCAGTGGGTTGTTGTGCTGGAGAAATAAAACTATTCCTTGTATATAGCAGGCACTCAAATGAAACCAAGTAAAGATCATGAAGGCTTCTGTTCCATAGCACAGGACCGGAGTCTTCCTACTCTAAGAGGAAGTGTCTAGCATCATTCTCCCACAATCATCCTGGTTGGCAGAAATACAAACCGGGCCGGAAGTTGAAGCAGAACAGGCTCTGATGACTATTTCATGGTGAGCAGATCAGCCTTAAGAAAAATAAACATCTCACAGACTCTAAATAATGTATGAATTTTATAAAAGGCTATTTGTTCAGATTCAGACTTCAGAAAGCTGTTCAATAGCAAATCCGTTAAAAGAAAGAGGGAGTGCAAAGTGTTTTGGTGAGAGTGACAGCCTCTGTAGCAGCTGGCCAGGGATCCGTGAGTGCCCAGGGATCCCTCCCTGCTCTCTGATCCTTCTGCTGGCCTACTTTCCATGAACTCACATTTCGCTTCTTCAGCACAGTGGACCCTGGCTGCTTCCCTGCCACCATTTAAGTACTGCCACAGTGTTCTTTCCTTCTCAGTCCATGATTCTGCTCCTTCCCCCTCCGAGACAAGCACATATATCTTCACTGGCATCCCTGACCTATCGGCCCTGTGACCCAAAGTGATCTTTCTCCCTGACCTTGTGCTGAAACTCTTCCTGCCTTTTGCGTCTCACATACACTCTCAGGACTTGGCTTTGCTCACTCCAGTAGCACCAGCCTGGAACTGGCTAGAACACAGCAGGAGGTAAGGACATATCTGCGGAATGCTGGGGTTGGGAGGGGGACAGGGAGGAAGTCTGTTTGCCACAAAGCACCTATATCCATTCTACTTCCCAATCTCAATTTGCCAACCACCCTTTTAGATTCTTTCAACAATTGCTCTTCCCTGGCAACATATCTAAATAAAATATGTTACTTTTCACACCCAATCTTCAAAAACAGTAAGTAGTAGAAGCTTAACAGGGTATCTCATATTCCCAAATAATTCTCCCATGATTCAGTAACCAGAAAAAGGGAACAGCAAGTCAGAATTGGATATAGAATTCAGATTTTTTTTCTTTCAAAGACACATTTTATACAACTTTCAACATTTATACTTTCAAACAAAATGAGCAAAGAAATAACACCGAGCGCTAAAAAAAAAAAATCAAAACAGAAGTAATACAATTTTAATTTCAATATCTTAAAGTACAGAAATTGGAAAGTAAGAATACCAAATACAACTTGAAACAAGTCACTTGTCCTCCCCTATAATAATCAATGTAAGCTACTTAAAGACTTACAAATTTAGAGTAAAACAGAAACAAAATAAATACTGTACACTTTCCCTGCCTGCAGGCAAAAGATGGGAATACTGTTATGAGTCGGGAAAAAAATGCTCTTAAAGCTTCAGCATCCCTCTTCCTAGCCACACCCCGATTCCATCATCACACAGTGTGCTTCTGTATTCAAAGGACACGCAGGTGCACACACACTGGCTGCCTCTACAAATAGACAAGACACTACTCAGCAGACGCCCCACACAAGAAGGCTAACAGTCACCCTGGACCGCGGGCATAAAAATCAGTAAGGAAAGTCAGTCAGGCTAGCAAAACATTACTACAAAACTAGTAAATACCATAGCCAACAACTGTCCCCCTTTTAAATTTCACAGATTTAAAACCCCTAAAACCAATACTACCCCACCCTATCAACCACCCTCCAACACCCTCCCGAAAGGAAACTTGCTGAAGCACTGGTAAAGTTAGACATTTCACAGTAAATGTGAAAATTCATATTATATAACCTCTGAAAATGAACCGTTTCACCCTCTTTCCACAGCATGAGACTGTTATGGCTTCATTTATATTAAAAGTAGAAAAGTCTTTTCCGGAAGGAAACGCAGTCTGCATGGATGCTCGTGCGTCCCCCGCTCAGTGCTATTCCACACCTAACAACTGCATGACTTGCTTCTGTAGTCAGAAGCTGTTTTTGGAAAACTTGAGGTTACAAGCTTTTGATTCAGTCTAACCATAAACTGTAAGGCCCTTAGTTTGGTTTAGGTTTCTTTTGCAAGATAAGATAACCTTGGGGTTCACTTGGCAAGTTACACCTCAGGTCCCTGACGATAATGTGGAAGTTACATGTATGCGTTGTAAAAATAAAAGATTTCTTATGATTCTCAGAGGGAAGAAATGATTCTAGGCAAGGAATCAACTCGTCACTCTATATCTCATTTAATGCTGGTAATTTTTTTTTTTACCAACCAAAACCCATCAAGGAAATACAAGAGTACATCTGGGCTGTTTCATTTCTGCAAAATATATTTTCTAGCACTTATGATTATTGTTCTGGTGAAAATTTTTGGGAGAAAATAGCTGACATTTTGCAAAGGAAATGGCCAAAAAAAAAAAAAAACTGGATGAAGATAAGTTTCACCTTTATGACTAAGTTCCATTCATGACTGCTTGAGAAATAAAAATGATTTCAGAATGTCATAGGTCTTGCATAGGTAAACTACTTGGAGGTCAAGAGCTACGTGGTAGCCAGGTTTATTAGTGAAATAGTGCAGAGCAGATAAACTTGTTGGAAGAAATCACTGAATTGTTTCAAAAAGGTTTCAACAACAAAAAAAAATCCTGTTGAACAGGTTAAGACAAAGCCTTAGGATACCAGAAGGGGCACCGAGGGTCAGAGGGAGAAGTTACAGATATTTCAACAGAGAATTATCATTCACTCCTCTATACTAAGGAGGGGAAAATGTTACAGCAGAATAAAATGAGTCAATCACAATAAGGTAGTTGTTTTGAAAAACAGGCATTTGCTCTTTGATATTACATTTTAAAATGTTTATGAGATATCAAATATTTGCATTATGGCATGACATTTACTGAAAAGCAAGTTAAAAATAAAGGAAGAATTTTTAAGTAAGGCTACAGGATTAATATTACAGCATGGTCTACAGCAACATAGTGAGTACAGGACTCATTCTCCTTTCATTCCATTGGACTTCCAGGAAGCACGTTAGCATCACTGACCACAGGGCAAGGACAGGCTGGCCAGTAGCGGCAGAGGAAGGAAGGTGTTCCCAGACACCTCTCCTATCAGGGATTCACTGGCCTTCTAGATTTACTATAACATCGTTCCTTAGGCTGAGTATCTGACAGTGGATTTTCACAAGGCTGCTTTAGATAAGTATCTAGAATATCAAAATGTTTAGCCTATCTTTAAGTAAGAAGCAATTAGTTTAATATATAAGGGGCAGGAGTAATGAACTTGAAGACTTCTTATATTTACTTCTTATATTTATTCAAGGCCCTCTCAATCTGGGAACTGAAAATGCCTTCTGCTGTACTAGTCATGCAATTACTCTAACTCTTGGCAGAGTGCGCTTCTCACCACAATGAGCATTTTTTCAAACGGCACAATCTTTTCTGCTGAAGACGTGCAATGGAACCTTCTTTCCTCCAGTACTCCTGAGGTTTCCCTCCTTACCCAGCAAGCTGCTGTTACCCAACCAAGAGCCATTTTGGTTCCCTCTTTCCTAACTACCTTGAGTTTCCCCATAGTTCCACAGCTGTGCTACTCGATCATTTTAATTCTGTGACTTATTTCCCTTTTATGGAGCAGTACTATCCCAATTTTTTTGTGAAAAACCTAAGTCTATCTTTCAATTACTTTAAATCATCTTAATGCGTCTGAGGATAAACCTTCTTACTCTCTTATCCATATCTCTTATCCATATGTGGTCTCACTTCTTTTTCTTTCACTTCAAGTATGGCATCTGATTGTAATTCAGCACCTTGTTAGAGATTGTTCAGATTTTTTAGGTATCTTGCCCTGGGCATATATTTGATAATGCAATACACTTCATGACTAATAGCAGTTTTCAGCTAAAAATACATATATAAAGGTGCAATTATAATCAATTATAACTTAAGTAATGACAAATTTTCTGTAAGTATGAAATGCTAATAGATTAAAAAAGAATGCTTTTCTGTATGTTTTTCTTAACTAATAATCATTGTAAACATTTTTTAAGCCAAATTTACAAAGAGAACTAAGCGTCTAAAGAGACCCAGATCTTCCATGCTATACCACACTTTTATATTAACATAACATTAAATTAGTAAGTTTTGAGATGTTTCTTAAATTTAAATAAGAATTCGTTGTTCCTTTACTTCCATTTTTATGTGGTATATCTGAACTGAAACTACAAGACATGCTTTTTTTTTTTTATGAATGGGCCTTCTCTTCTACAGTTTCCTTAAAGGTGAAAATAATGCTAACGTCTTAGAAAAGATGTCTTTAAAGGCAGAGACTATGTGGTAACTTCATATCCCCCACAGTTCTAAAGGGTGCTTGGGCACACGGTACGTGTTGGGTCAATACCTTGCTGATTTCAGATGAACAGATACAGCAGAGTACATAGAAAAGGTCATTAGGATTAACAAACAGAATAATATTCAAGTCAGGTATTTAACTACTGATAAAGATGGGCTTGCTTCTTCTGTGAGTTTATGAGTTCAGTCAGAATCTTCAATTTTATATACTTCAAAAGTGAATTTCATAAAGTTCAATACATTCCTATGGTACTGAGCTACTATGAAACTGCCAGACTTGAATCGCTTATATCATTCATCAATACTGGAGAGCTTACTATATTATGTGAAATTGAGAATTACAGGTTAGGAGTCACCTATTTGAATTAACACAGAAAAATTACTATCTACTACTACTATTACTAAAATTTCATATGTTAAATCCTAATTCTCAATTAATATACTTGTATTCACTTACAATAACTAAATGCTCTCATCGATGTATTCTTGCCTAAGTTGTGTTATCTGTAAGATAGTGTTGTTTATAAATGTGACAGGGGAAAGACAGAAGCTTGTCAATTTTTGTGAAGTCCAAATACTGGCAGCAACTAGCTTACAGTTCAGCCATGTCCAAGAGATAAGGGATGGATCAGTCAGACTTTGCGAGAGAGCGGCTAAAAGCTCACCAATTCAGAAAGAGATACATGTTACTGTCATAGTGGTTATTATAGTGCCTTGATCAAAGTTTTGGAACTTAGCCAGTTAATGGACAAAAGCTGGCAAAAATAAATGTACATACACCTTCAGTTAAAAAAATATCCCACATATTAGCTACTCAAATTAATATTTTTTGGCCTAGGGAAACAGAGGGGATACTGATCATATTTTAACTCATAAAAAGCAAACTTGCTTTTATGGCTAAAATAGTAAGTAAAAATTCTTGAAGCTACGAAAAAATTTTAATGAAAAAATCCACATCATGATGGAAATAGGAAAGAAAATTATAGTTATTATTTCTTAAAGTGAAAGAGCAGCACATGTACAATAGCACTAAAATGGAGTCTACAGAAACCAAGACATCACAGTAACAGATTGTGCAGAAAGGTGGGGGAAGCAGTCAAAACCAGATTTTGCATCTTGAGGTAAGATGACCAGTCAATGGCTGCCTGTGCCCATCTTCTCACTAGTTTTGGCATAGTAGACAAGGTTTAAGTAGGCCATACACAGATACTGAGGAGTCCATAGAAACTCTTCCCAATACCCAGTTAAGATTCAGACTTTGGACCAGTGTCTCTGGGCCAAAAAAGGCTAATTCACTAAGCTATTTAATATATACCCCATGAAATATCGGAATGGAAACTGTAAAAAATAATGCTTTTTTGAAAATACAAATTTAAATACAACTGTGAAAGAAGATGGTATAGATATTTTTCTTAGCAATTCAAGTGATATTTTAATACGGAAGGGAAAGTACTATTAATGTACTGAGTTAAAAAAAAAAAAGAAAAAAGGAATTCACACTATGACCCTATTTCTTTTCCATAAAAATAAATTTATCCTATTTGCCTATATTTTCTCTGTATGAATTTGTAAAATGCTCTCTATTATGAGACTTGTGAATATTTCCAGCCTACTCCTAGAAATCATTTATCTTTATGGCAGGGCAGAGGAAAGGGGAATAGAAGTTATTACAGGCATCTGAAAACTGGCATTCAGTAAAAATTGAACACATAGGAGATAAGTGATTACCTTAACATTCAATCAGCTATTTAACTCTAAACTGTACTGGTCAAGTCAGGAGAGATGGAAGAAACTACAAAAAAGCACCCATTTTACTCCAAATCCATCTCTTAGATAATTCTTTAGAAGATTAAGAAATAAGCACACACAGAGAAGATCTACTCCAACATGCTTGCTTCTATACAACTTAATATAGTATGATTCTATTATATTAATGCTTATTATGCAGATTTGAACATCATAAGTCAAATCATATTTTCCAACAAATTAGGTATAGAGAATCAAAGCGCCATAAGAGAGACCCTCTGCAGTGGGTGTCAGTGTGGTCACCTGACACCAGCAGTATGAAGAAGGCCCTGTATAGTTACAAATGTATTTGGAAAAAAACTATAAACATGACAAATTAAACCAAACTTATAATACTTTTCCCATAAGTAGGAAACAGATATTAAAGCTGTTCTCTTTGGGACCTAGATATCATCAGCAGAAATGAAAATGTAAGAAGCCTATTTTCTTTATACTTACAAGAAAATCACAATTTCAAATAAAATGAGAAATGAATTTTATGGAGTTCTTACATATTTGCTATGAAAGTGTTTCCCTGCAAAGAGAAGAGTGTTGTTGGGTCATCACAAAACGATGGGGAGTGCGGAGGGGGTGGACATAAGGTAATCAACCTGGATAACAGTATGCACCTTGGATGTTAGCAAAAGCGAAGCTAATAGCTTATAAAAAACACATGAAATATATAAAATAAAATGATTTTCATATACATCTTAATTTAAAATAATTAATGCATCAAATCCCTGTTTAAGACTTTAACCTGAATATCAAATTGAAGAGTCCCGACTAGTTACTGTTACCGTGGTTCTTCCCCACATGTAACACACACGCTATCAAAAATAATTTAAAAACCTTCACATTCTTAAATCTAAATTAGTGAGATATTTCTCCAGAAATCTTCCAAATAAATAGCTTTAAAAAAGAAAGAATTTAAAAGCTGTTAATTTTAAAAAAAAAAAAATCTGTTAAATAAATTATTGATAATTCTTTACCCTACTACTGAATAAATCAAGACACTATCAACAACAAAATGAAATTCAAGCCCTGACAAGAGACCCTTTTCAGTCCAAGGTCTCCTTTTAAGGTTTTACCCTCTTTCTTCCTCTCCCCCACCAGGTCCAGAAGGTTATTGCTGAGTGGGTGTGGCACAGTGAAAATGCAGCATCAAGTTCATTCTGTTCTTCGGGCAATATTCTTACTGTACACACAAACTGCTCCAGGCAGGGGTACAGCGGGAGCTCCAGGCTCCTGCACCCCCAAGACTGGTCTCCGAAGGAAAGGACGACTACTACAGCAATTCCATCACACAAAGAAACGTGCATGGCCATTTCTGTTCAACTTGAGGATCTTCCCAAGACGTTGTTTGGCTGTTGCCATTCCTTTTTTTGGACGCTTACCTATAAAATATCATCAACAGTGTGAACAGCAATGAAGAGCGCATTTGACAGCACCTGAAGACTGAATTAGAGCTCCATGGCAAACATTCTCTGTAACTATTCTGAAAGGGCGAGGACCAAAAACCCTTCTACCTTATCACACCAGGGTTAGGGCCAAACTCCTTTCCAATACCTATAGCAACCTCCAGCAGTTTGATCTCTGCTTAGCTCTTCAGCATGAGCTCTCCTCGTGTCCTGCATCAAACGATGCTTCAGCAAAAAAATGAACCAGCAAACAAACTTCTCCATGATTTCTTTACTATCTTACACCCTATGTCTACCCTTCGCACCCTGGGTGAGGGTCTTTCCTGTCTGTTCTTTTAATTCCCCAGCCCACCTGACTAACCCTTACCGTCTTTTTCAGGTTGTACCTTCTCTGAGTCCTCAGAGTGACCTAGGTATTCCTCCTGGGTTCCACCATCACCACATTGTCTAAATGCACTGGATAATGAATGCCATGAATTCATACACTAGCTAAACTGCCACTATTCCTGTCACACACAGTCAAAAACAGATTTCATTTGCAAATGTGTAAAAGTTACCTTTAGTTGCCTGGTTGCTGATGGGTGGTGGATTTGATGCAGGTCTCTTGGTGGGGTGAAGGGGCACTGACAAAGAAGTTTCCCCAACGGGCCTTTCTGGGCTGAGACTGCCAGTGTTTATCTGGCATGCCCCTGAAACCACGCTTGAATTCTGCATATATTTTCCATTCTGAAAGCTTGAGCCACTGCTGTCCATGAAATTCCTACTTTGTACCTTCTGACTAATTTCTGATGAACCTTCCTTCTTTACACATTTCTGGCTTCTACTTAAATCCTGAAAAAGAAAAGCAATGATGCTGAGTTTTCACGGTTTAGGATAAAGGAGGTATTTAGGCTCTCTGTGCATTAGCCAAGTCAAAAGAGAGGAAATAAGCTCTGAATTTTGGATGTCTTATTATGTTTTAACCACAGATGACAATTCCTTCATGCTGGCCATTTCTGTCCATAAACCTAACAGCTTTAGAGGGCTCAGGTTTTGAAGTTATATCATAATTTAAGTCAAAAAGAAAAAGAGAAAATAATTTAAATAAGCTAAGACAATCCATTTGCCATCCACCCAGCAAGCTATGAAGAGAAGCCAAGGTGAGAGCCACAGACCAGTCACTGCTTTCCGAGCATGTCATAGCTCCCATGTAACCTCTGATGGTATAACATACTGTTTTTGGTTTTTCTTTTTAAGAACCCAATTTTAAAAAGTGGCACCTAGGGCCCAGCACAATAGCGTAGTGGCTAAAGTCCCTGCCTTGAATGCACCAGGATCCTATATGGGTGCGGGCTCTAATCCCGGCGGCCCTGCTTCCCTGCTTGTGGCCTGGGAAAGCAGTCAAGGATGGCCCAAAGCCTTAGGACCCTGCACCCGCGTGGGAGATCCAGAAGAAGCTCCAGGTTCCTGGCTTCGGATTGGCGCAGCTGTGGCCATTGCGGTTACTTGGGGAGTGAATCATCAGGTGGAAGATCTTCCTCTCTGTCTCTCCTCCTCTCTGTATATCTGACTTTGCAATAAAAATAAATAAATCTTAAAAAAAAAAAAGTGGTACCTCCATTGCATTTACTTGAGAAAAATCCCTAGAGTCACAGCTCTAAGTCTGGTTTCCTTTAAACTACTTTTTTTTCCCCCCTCAGACTACTAACGAGTGAACTTACAGGAGGCAAAAAATGTTAGTCATTATTAAATCTTGAATCTTTCAGTGACTCATGACCAACATTAAAAAGAGAAAGAACTAGGAATCAGTACTGTGGGATAGAGGGCAAAACCATCGCCTGGAGCGCTGACATCCCATATAGACACAGGTTCAAATCCTGACTGCTCCATTTCTGATCCAGCTCCCTGCTGTTGCCTTAGGAAAGCAGCAGAGAATGCCCTACATGCTTGGGCCCCTGCACACACATAGGAGACTCAGAAGAAGCTTCTGGCTCCTGGCTTCAGATTGACCAAGCTACAATCATTGCAGCCATTTGAGGAGTGAACCAGCAGATAGAAGACCCTCATATCCTCTGTAATTTTGCCTTACAAAAAATTAAGTTTGAAATAACTAACTAAATAAATAAATAGAAAGAACTAGACTAGCTATTAAGAGTAATAATTCATGAAGCTAGTTTTAATTATGAATATGATATATCTGACTGTCATGATCAGGAGTGTGAATAACAGTATTAAGGACAAACTTGTTTTAAATTAGCAGGAGAAACCAACTGCTATGATTCGAAATGACATTATAATAATTATCTGTATCACAGGAAAAATAAATGCAATCTTCCTTGGGACAGTCTTGCTAATCACTGACCCTTAGTTTGTTCACTTATTTTATTTTTTTAAAAATTTACTTATTTTTATTGGAAAGGTAGATATACAGAGAAGGAGAGTGAGAGAGAAAGATCCTCCATCTGCTGGTTCACTCTCCAGCTGGCTGCAATGGCTGGAGCTGAGCTGAGCTGAAGTCAGAAGTCAGGAGCCTCTTTCGAGTCTCCTACATGGGTGCAGCGTCCCAAGGCTTTGGGCCGTCCTCGACTGCTTTCCCGGGCCACAGGCAGGGAGCTGGATGGGAAGTGTAACTACCGGGATTAGAAACGGTGCCCATATAGGATCCTGGCGCATTCAAGGTAAGGACTTTAGCCACTAGGCTAATGTGCCAGGCCCAGAATATACCTTCTTTTTTTAAAGAGTTTACATCCACAAAATATTCAGTGCTGTAGTACACAAGATTAAGCTGTCATCTGCAATGCTGGCATCCTATATCAGAGTACCAGTTTCAGTCCTGCCTGCTCTGCTTCCACGTTGGCTCCCTGCTTTGCTCCTGGGAAAGCAGAAGCAGATGACGCAAGTGCTTGGGCCCTTGCTAATCACTTAGGAAACCAGAATAGAATTCCTCGTCCAGACCTGATTGTTGGAAGGTATAACCCCCTTCTCTCTCTCCCTCTCTCTCTGTCATTCTGCCTTTCATAAAAATAAGTCATTGAAGAAATCTGGCTCATTTCTTTTCCTGTAGAAGTAACTGCATCATATTTAGAAGATATAGAGGAGCCAAATAAAGGAAATAGAACACATTCATAATTCCAGTAGTCAGAGATGCATGGGCATGTTCTGTCTGTGCACCACTGAAGGCTGAACAACCAGTGAAAAACCCAAAAGCACAATCTAGGGGTCCCTTTCATGTCTGCAGAATCTCTGAGCAGTGCATGAAAGCTTTATTCACAAGAGATTTTCCCCTCACTTCATTTTTAAAAAGACTACTAATGTCTACCCCTCCCCCCCATACACACACACTTATTCTTCCTCCCTTCAATAAATATTTCTTTACACTAGAAAGTTTTGCTTGGGTTTGGGCAGGTTTGATTCTTGTGCTGCCATCCTCTCAAGTCTCAGTTTGGTACTGCTAGCATAGTGTTGGTTTTTTAAAAAGTGGTACTTTCGGGTCGGCATGATAACCTAGTGGCTAGATCCTCACCTTGCATGTGCCAACATCCCATGTGAGCACTCATTCATGTCCCAGCTGCTCCACTTCCCTTCCAGATCCCTGCTTGTGGCATGGGAAAGCAGTGGAGGATGGCACAAAGTCTTGGGACCTCTACCTGTATGGGACCCTGGAAGAACCTCCTGGCTTCCTTCCCTCTGTCTTTCCTTCTCCCTGTAAATCTGTCTTTCCAATAAAAAGTAAATAAATCTTAGAAATGTTTCAAAATGTTACTTGCAGTTCATTCGGTTTGGGGTAGGTATAAAAATGCTGTATCTTCACATTTCATCTTTAGTATCTACCATCTCCTCTTGGAGCAGTCCTTAAACTGGAGTTGTAAACAGTGAGTAAAGTGGAGAAACGGTGAAATAAACTATGAGAAAATGCAAGCAAAACCCAATTTATATTTATGATGACCATCTTTCTATTAGGAGAATCTATCAAACTCTCCAAAGAAATTTAATATCTAAAAATTTAAAAAAAAAAAAAAAAAGCTTCAGAAAGTAAAAAGAGATTCTCAAGGTATCTTTTATCTCGGGTGTCTCACTCCAACCAAACAGAACCCAGCGGTGTCAGAAGCCAGTTGTTTCAACTGCGTGCACGAATGTGTTGCTCTCATTTACATGACATTCTCTCCATCAGCCTTGCTTCAACTAGTCTATCAGAATTTCTAAACATCGACAGTTGTTTAAATATGCATTTAATTTTAATGTTTAGACTTTCTAGATCTAGTAGCTGATAATCAATTGAATTCTTTTTTAAAGAAAGGAAAATGCAGAGTTATGACAAGTCTAAATATCCCTTTAACAGTTTCAAACTGAATATACCTGAGGATTAAATCTGGAAGTTGTATCAAACTGTTTAATCCAGGAAGAAGTCCGTAAGTCCCGCTCTTCAGTCTTGACATGGTATCCTAAAGAAAATTTTAATTAAATTGTTTTTGTACAATTAATTAAAGAACAAAAGTAGCTCGATGTTAAAAAAATCAAAAACAAATTTATGTTGACACCTTAAAAATATGCTACCAGTTAACTCTTCAGACATTTATTCACCTTCAGTTTTTCTCACAACCTAAAATTTAATTCTTTCCTCTGGCTGCTTTTCTACTACAGTCCTTTTAAAGACCTACAAATAGTATGGCCAACTGATGTAACTACAAAAATCCAATGCAGTGTACTCTTTCTAAACATGTCATATTCCCCATCTAGAAGAAAAGCAGATATTTGCCTCAATTTTGCAGCATTTCCATAAAGTTTTTATTTTCAAGTGACCAAAGAGACTTCAGTAAGACAAAAAGGCATAGCTGACACACAGACAAACCCAGATTTGAACTAAGTTCTTCTCTTACCAGTATAACTTTTAACAAATTACTTAACACAGCTCTCTGAACTTCAGTTTCCTCTTGTATGTACACAAAAAATTGGGAACCACAATGGTCCTGGGTTCGGATTCTGATAGTACTAAATAATAACTATTAAATGTGACCAAATTAAACATTACTAAATCTTACTTTATTTATCTGTAAAGTGGAAGTGGCTATCTATACCATAAGTGTTACTTCCAGAACACCATAAGTTAATGGTTGCTGAGCTCCTAATACACAGTTGGCAATATGAGGAAGGGACAGAACTGTCACACCGGCATTCGTTTTAATACAGTGCCATCTTCTCTCCCATCGCTGCTCAGCCTTTTCCCTCTAAAGTCAACGAAGGACACACTGACATTACAAGGGAATTCCTTCCCCTTTTCCTAACACTTCCTTGTTAGGTAGATGAAAAAAATATCCTCAATTAGAAACAGTTCAAGGCCTGTTTTCCCTCTCCTAAAACAGAAACAGGTTGATTGTTCAGGCTTTGCAGACCATTTGAGACACCACAACTTTCTTCCCACTCCAATCAACTTTTGGTGAAAGGGAAATAATACTGTTTTTTAAAGATCAATGGCAGCACCATGCCAGTGATCACAATTCTCAATTCTTGGTAATTGACATTTCCATTTTACATGACTAAGCAGCATCATGAATTCTTTGATCAATATTCTCGACATCATTTCCAACTAAAGATGTGCAGCCAACAGCCCTTATTGATCATCTCTCACAGAAACTGTGGATATAGAGCTATTATGCTGGGGGTTCTATGCTACTTTTGAAACACTGGTTAGTTCCATTGCTTACCGTATTCCATTGGTCTACTGTAGTGATAGGACTGCCTAACTTCATGGTTACTGCTGTGGCAGCTGGGGTCCTGGAGAGACTGTTTGTCACTACTGTTATCTGTGCTTTGCACTTGCATTTGTAAACATGTGGGATAGTGCAATCCTGCCATGGACAGCATGCCCTGAATAGCTTCTTCCTCTGTGCTCGTCGAGGTAGGACATTCCCTAGAGCAGATAATCCAGAAAAGATAAGTCTGGGTTTTTGTTTTGTTTTTTTTTCCAATGAAATTCTGGTAAAATTTAAAATAAAAAAAATTTTTATAGTATTTATACCACAACATAATATGAGTACTAACATCAGCAAACCAGCAAACTGACCTTTTACTTGGAATTTCACTTCTAGATGGCTTCTGGCTCTTCTGAAGGAAGCTCCTCATCACACTGGATTCTTCCTTAAAGGCTGATGTTATTTCCTGTTTCTTTTCATCACCTGAACTTTCAGACTCTTCAGTGGTAAAATTATTTTTCTGAAATAATTGAAAATCATATAAGAAATTGATCCCAAGTTTGTAAAAACTAATTTTAAAAGACTATCCACCTAGGAAAAGTTAGAATCTTTTTTTTCTTTTGAAGATTGATGTATTGATTTGAAAGGCAGAGTTACAGAGAGGGGGAGCAAAGCAGAGAGACACCTTCCACTGCACTCCCCAAATGGCTATACAAGACCAAGATGAAGCAAAAAAAAAACCAGGAGCTTCATCTGGATCTCCAATATAAGTGCAAGAGTCCAAAGGCTTGGGAAATCCTTCACTGTTTTTTTTCCCAAGGCATCAGCAATGAGTTGGATCAGAAGTGCATCAGCTGAGATTTGAACTGATATACATAAGGGACGCCAATGCTGCAGGGAGCAATTGAACCTGCAGTGCCACAGAGTCAGAATCTTAATTATCATGGGATTATTTCTGTATTTCACGCAAGAAAGTGAAAAACTCTAGTAACCACAGTAACATACTACCTTAATGAATAACTGAGGAATAAGAAGAGAAATGTAAGAACAGAAAGAGAAGTATCGCCTACTATCTTTCCAAGAGCACAGAAAAGCTATGTTTCTCAAATGTGAATGGTTACATGGTGGTGGGTGCATATAAGGGCTAGTAAGAAGGATCCTGGGCTACAGAGGAAGAGACACAAGTTCCGAGGAGAGCCGTCGTTGGCTTTCCTCTCACACGATGGACACATGAGCGCTCATTCTTCCATGAAATGATGTGCAAGCCACAGGGTTTCAGGCATACCAGTGCAGTGCAATCGGGGCCAGAGTCTTCTGAGTCAGAAATATCAGAATATTCCGATGATCTATTCCTGAGTTCTGATTTCACACTTGAAAAAAACCCTGAGGGAAAAAAGAGAGAAAAAGAGAAAGGCATCAGGAATTTAGGAACCAGTGGCAGATGTTTAGCACAGTACTACCCAGTTGATGGAGTGCCTGGCTTGCTAACCCTTCTCTGCTGCCGATTCCAGCTTCCGGCCGAGGCAGACCTGGGGAGGCTGCGGTGAGGGCCCAGGGATTACACTCTTGCCACGTGCACTGAAGGCCTGGACCGAACTCCCAGACATAGCCTCCGTCCACCCTTGGCCACCTCGGGATTTTGAGGAGTCAACCAACAGGTGGGAGAGCCAGAGCTTTCTCACTCCTGTGCTCTCTCACTCGTTCTTCTCAAATTAAATATCTATCTGAACAAGGTGACAAGTTCATCTCAAAAGTCTACCCACCTTTGTGATGCTTCTCATGTCTTCTGATCTCATCCTAGGTTTTTGCCATTTTTCCTTTCCCCATTGCTTTCTACCCAGTCTTTCTCCAAAATTGACCAAAACACAGACTAAACTATACTTGTTAAAGTTTCTGTATTTATTGAATGTGCTTTCCTTATTTGAGATAACTTTTTATCATTTCTTTCCAGAAAAAAAAAAACCTCCAAAACTCAAATTTCCTACAAGATGTTTTTCACATATTTCTTTTACAAGTTCTCAATAGAAAACAAAATAACGCTTTTAAGCCTGAAAGCATCCACATAGCCAGTGAGTTCAACAAGGTTATAAGATGGATTTTAATACCGCCTTTCTCTTCTAAGTGTCACTGCCACATAGCACTTGTTTGGTGAATTTGTTGATTAACTGCCTATTTTCCTGGCATGTAAACTAAAGCAGAGTCACCAACTATATCAATATCAGATTTACCTGGAATTGCGCGTATTCAACATGAATTAAATAATATTAGTTATCTGAAACATTTAATTATAAAGTACTAGAATATTGAAATATGGCTGTGAGACAAGAACAAAAAAATTTTATTGCTGCTTACTTCACTAATGCCTGCAATGGCAAAGGGTGGGCCAGGCCAAAGTCAGGAATTCCATTTCAGTCTAAGATATAGGTGGCAGACCCAAATATTTAGACTGTTACTTATGTGTGTCACAACGTACACATTAGCAGAAGCAGAGCCAGAACTTGAGCCCATGCACTGAGATAAGGCATATAGGCAATCCCAAGCTGTGTCTTAATACTTGCCCCATATTTCAGCTATGTTTTTAAAATAGAAGGGCATATAGAGGTTCCAAAAAATGTTCAGACAAACATTTCATAGAAAGAGCTCAAGGATGAGCCATGACTATTTTGTTTCATATTGCCATTACTCCTTCTAATTTAATAAAGAATTTAGTAGAGGCAGGCTTTCTTATCAATAAGCAATCAAATAAAACTACACAGTATATGGATTTCTAAGACTTTCAGATCAATTTTATGTCTTCTTATTCAGAAAACCATACACATGTTAGTAAAAAATCATCTTTGAAATTGGATTACACTGAAAACTTTCATTAGCAGACTCTATTCTGCCTTCATGGGCTTCCACGCCACTCAAATTTAAAACTGTCTTGATGAGGGTATCACTGCCCCCACATTCCCATCACCGCCAACATTCCCGGCCACCACCCTTGATGCGGCATTCACCTCCCTTGACATTTTTCAGACCAATTTCAGGAACACAAAAATTTTAATTCCTACTGTGAAGTTGAAAACTTTAAAGTTGGCAAGTTACTTTACATATTATCACACAAAGTAGAGAGCTTTAAAACAAACATACTGTTAAGTGGCTTTTGAGATTCATTTTCCACCCCCTCTATTCCTGAACTCTCTTCCATCTTCATTTTTGTCTTTTTGGTCCTTCTCTTATCCTCTTCATTCTCACTCTCTGCAGTATAAAGACTTTGATCTGCGAAAGGCTGTCTCTCATCTCTGTATCAGGGAGGAGAAATAATCAAGTCAGAAAATAGTACAAGACTAGCAGACAAACTACCTTTCCCTCCCCCTTAATTCACAAAGACTACAAAATTGAGGTAACTTCTCCATGTTTCAGCTGTGCAACAGTATGGACTAGGGATTAAATAAACTAGGGGATCCAATAAAAGTTCATCTGCTTGATACTTTGGTTCACTTTACTTACTTAATTATTCTTCCATTTGTCAGCAATAAACGTAGATCATTATCTTTTGCTCTCCACTCAGGTACCGTAGAAGATGGCTGGAGATGTTTATTGAATTTTCCATTCAGTTTAGAGCTCAAGATGTCCTTAAAATATAAAAGCAGAACTTCCTCAATCTCCACTCTCAAATGTACCCATACGACTGAAGGAAGACAGCACCCCACACACTGCCATGTCACCCCACATCCAGCCCTGTATCTCAAAGTGCCAGCCAAGGCTTGGTACATAGCAGTCTAACACACTGGAAATTCTCATGCCAAAACACAAATGGCCCTCTCTTGGGAGGGTCATTAACAACAAAATACATTCTGTGAAGTAATGTAAAACCTGCATAATGGAAATTCAAGGAACATTGTAGTACAAAAAGCTAAAGAGGCGGAGCAGCACTGCCTCAGGTATTTTCACTTCTTTCTCCTTGTTTTTTCCTGCTAAAATGTAGCTGCTGGGCCTTCTCCTTAACTTTCCAGTCCTCAACCTCACCTCCAGTATTCCCACCATGCACTGTTTGCCATGTACAGGCCACCATGCTGCTAACCCTGTGAAGAAAGGCTACCTACCATGTGACCGAAAAGGACAACAACAGTATCTGGTTTTTATTGCATAAAGTCTATTTTTCTGGTTTATTTTTTTCCCATAATAACAAGCAGAATCTTTCATAATAAGCTAAATCTTTCCCAGATTGTTGCATTAAGTAGGTTTAGAATAACATAAAATAATTATTATTTAAAATTGAAGGTTTATAAAAATAAGAATTTCTACATAACTTCCTCGAATATTAACTCAGAGTTTCCTCACTTAAGCAACTGTCCAGGGCAGGCACCCAACCTATCAGTAAAGATGTCAAGCCACATTGGAGTTCCTGAGCTGGGCTTCCCACTAATGCAGATCCTGGACAGGGGGATGTTGACTCAAGTAGTTGGGTTCCTTGTTACTCATACAAGGACCCAGGACTGAGTTCCAGACTTGTGGCTTTGAACCCTCCAAGCCTTTATAGGCACCTGGGAAGCAGACCAGGAGATGGCCATCGGCTCTCAGGTTCACACACTCACTTTGTGTCTCTCTTTGTGAATAAATAAATAAATCACTAATAAACTATTTCCCATCTACTTTTAAAATTATGAACGGTGCAGATCTCATCACAAATTCATTATAAGGATTTTGAAAGGTATGACATTGACCTTGTTACTGCCTCCCACTCTCCTTTCTTCAATGGGTCAGTGCTTCTCATACTTGATGAGTTTATCCTCACAGCCTCCCAGTCTGACATTCACCCTAATGAATGCAGGTTAAGCAGAAGATTTCTGCATTCATTCTTCCCTTTTCCTGAAAATGGTATTCCTCAAATCTCTGTTGATCCATCTGACACCCTCCTTTTATTTAAGTGTCAGTTCAACTATCATTACCTGAGAGGCTGTGTGACTATGCTAGTCACACAGTAACTAACCACTCTACCCTCTTTATTCTACTAGTCCACTCTGGAGTATATACCTGTCTTCTAGTCTTTCCAACGTGGATAGGATGGAAGCTTTAGGAAGTTAGAGATTTAGCTTTCTGCTCACTCTGGTATCTTCTTCAGAGCCCAGAAGAGCACTTGGTATTTGGTAAACATTTAACAAACATGTTAGCAAATTAATGGGGCCTATTCATCCTGATTTAACACCGATGCCTAGGAAGACTAATCATCAGCATTCCTTGTAGACACAACTGTTGCCTGGTGCCTACATTTCTACAGCAAAGGTCAAGTAACAAGAATGGGTCAGACTATTGCTTTTATTACTCCTTTACAGAGCTTTAAGGAACAACTTAACTTCTTAATGATATCATGAAACGTAAGACTTGCCTCTTCCCATGGACACATCTCTAATCTTTTGAGGACTTCTCTTGTGTGGAGCTCTAGGATGTCCAGGTTAGAAGGTGTTCGGACATTATGATCTCGAAGTTTCCTTATCCTTCGTCGGGAATGGTAAGGGGAAGTTGCTTCGTTTGAAGATCTTGAAACTGGACACACAGTAGGAATTCCCTGAGATTTAACTGGTTTACCGTTTTCCTCCTTTAAGAATTAAATTCAGAGCATTTTTATGACAAAGCTACTACATACATACCTGACTAATCAGTCACAAAATATGTTAGAAAACAAAAACACAGTTTAATCATACAAACAGAAAAGAGCAAATTATAAGCCCCTAACAGCTTTGTCAAGATCTGCATATCCTTCTCCTTCTCAATAATATATTGTGACTATGTTTCTTTGGTCTTCAATATTATGCTATATGCAACAGGCTGTGCAGAATTCTACTACATGGATATAGTATAATTTACTGACCTAACATTTACTGATGGCTATTTAGGTTGCTTTCAGTTTCTTTGTATGATGAAACTTCTTCCATACACATATTTGTGGAAATCAATCATTACTTTTTAAGCCACTCACTCATCTATGCCATTTTTAAACTAAGTACTCCATAAATATATCATGAAAAGGAACATTTTACTCATTCCCATTTCTGATTCCTTCTCCAGAGGTAACCACCTGCAACTTTCTGTAGTAGCATACATAATGGAAAACTTTCCATTTTAAGCATTTTAAGTATACAGTTCAATGGCAGTAAGTACATCCATACTATTGTATAAATGTCACCCACAGTCTATCACTAGAATTTTTTCATGGGCCCAATTTGAAATTCTAAATCCATTAAATAAAAACTATCTATTTTCTACTACCCCCAATCCCTAGCAACCATGCTACCTGCTCACTATGAATCTGAAAATTCTAGGAAGAACCTTTATAAGTCAAACCATACAATATTTGTCCTTTTGTGACTGGCTTATTTCACTTAACCAAAAGCTTTCAAGGTTCATGCACATTGTGGCATGTGTCAGAAAATGTTCTTCTGGGCCTGGCGCGATGTCCTAGCAGCTAAAGTCTTTGCCTGGAATACACCAGGATCCCATAAGGGCACCGGTTCTAATCCCAGCAGCTCCACTTCCCATCCAGCTTCCTGCTTGTGGCCTGGGAAAGCAGTCAAGGATGGCCCAAAGCCTTGAGACCCTGCAGCCGCGTGGGAGATCTGGAGAAAGTTCCTGGCTCCTGGCTTCAGATCGGCACAGTACCGGCTATTGCAGTCACTTGGGGAGTGAATCATCGGATAGAAGATCTTCCTCTCTGTCTCTCCACCTCTCTGTATATCTGACTTTGCAATAAGAAATAAATAAAACCTTAAAAAAGGAGAAAATATTCTTCTTTTTTAAGGTTTTATTTATTTCTTATTGCAAAGTCAGATATACAGAGAGGAGGAGAGACAGAGAGGAAGATCTTCTGTTTGATGCTGGAATTAGAACCAGTGCCATATGGGATCCCGGTGCTCTCAAGGCCCCAAAAATGTTCTTTTATAAGGCTGAAAAACTATTGCACTGTGTATGTCTGTAACAGCTGTTTACTGCTCAGCAATGGACACTTGTGTTGCTTGGTCCCCCTGTTGGTTACTGTGGAATGCTGCTTCCCGGGATTTCCTGAGTGTATAACTTGAGCTTACATCTCTTACAACCAGCATTTTTTTTTTCTTTTTCAATTATTTGCCCTCAAATTTCTAAATACACATTTATATTATTTAAGCTTCAAATATTATTAGACTCCTACTATACAAGATGAAATTTTAATATTCACATACCTTTCCTAAATGTATGCACATTTCTCTTTACTTCAATTCAGTATTTAAATTGGACTCAATAAACATTGATGACTCAGTGCCATATACCATAGTACTTCTTTTACGTCTTGCGCTTTCTCCTTGAGTTATAACTATTTCCCTCACCATTTGCTTTGTTTCCTGTATTTATACTAAACGCCTCTCAAAATCTCCACAAGAAGATTGCAGACATCAAATTAGCTAATTCATTAATTTTACATTTTTCTTTAAAAACATTCCTCCTAGCTAGGACTGCCAGACAAGGTATAAGACACTCAGTTAAACTTGAATTTCAGATAAACAAAAATGTATGGAACCTTTCATTACCATGGTCAATCAGAGACTGGCCAGCTTAAGTGAAGAATAGTCGTTAACAGATAATTTCATAGTTTCCACTAGGACTGTTTTAGGAATAGGAAATGGTATAAAATCTAGGAAAGATTAAAATGGTGGGTTTAATGTCCATGGTTAGAATAGCCCATGTAATTCTCAATGTGGCCCACAGCTGGCTGTCAGGGCCAACTTCATTGTTTTTCCAGGTGTTTGTTCATACCTAACACGTAGAATTACTTTGGGTCTGACACTTTCAGAAATGACAGTCTCATTTGTTCAACTACTGTTTTATCATATAAATTTACAATTTTTTTTCATATACACTATCATCAGTCTTTCTGGCTGAGTTTATGCCTAGTTTTGGTTATTACTATACATGAAATTTACATATATGAAACATATGAATAATTGTATATATCTTTAAAAATAGACATGACTTTTTAAAGGTTTGTTCATTTTTATTGGAAAGGCAGATTTATGGAGAGAAGAAGAGACAGAAAAGATCTTCCATCTGCTGATTCACTCCCCCAAATGGCAACAATGGCAGGAGATGAGCCAATCCAAAGCCAGGGGACAGGTGTTTCTCACAGCTCTTGCATGCTGGAGCAAGATCCCAAGGCTTTGGCCTATCTTCCACTGCTTTCCCACGTCACAAGCAGGGAACTGGATGGGAAGTGGAACAGCTGGGAAATGAACCAGAACACATATGGGATCCCAGTGCTTGCAAAGTGAGGACTTAGCCAACTGAATCATTGTGTCTGGCCCTAGATATGACTTTCGATACTAAATCCATTTGCAAAAATGGTCATTACTTTTAATAAGTGGAAAATATTTTTCTAGTATATTTGAGCACATTGAGAATTATATTGGCTATTCTATACTGGAACTTTAAACCTACCATTTTAATCTTTTCTAGGTTTTATACCATTTTCTACTACTAAAACACAGTTCCGGGCCCGGCGCGGTGGCGCAAGTGGTTAAGGTCCTCGCCTTGCACGCCCGGGATCCCATATGGGCGCCGGTTCTAATCCCGGCAGCCCCGCTTCCCTTCCAGCTCCCTGCCTGTGGCCTGGGAAAGCAGTCGAGGACGGCCCAAAGCTTTGGGAACCTGCACCCGCGTGGGAGACCCAGAAGAGGCTCCTGGCTTTGGATCGGCATAGTATCGGCCCGTTGCGCTCACTTGGGGAGTGAATCATCGGATGGAAGATCTTCCTCTCTGTCTCTCCTCTCTGTATATCCGCCTTTCCAATGAAAAAATAATAAAAATAAATCTTAAAAAAAAAAAAAAAAAACACAGTTCCAGTGGAGTGGAAACTGTGAAATCTATTCTTCGGGTGAACTGGATAGTAACAGAACTAACTTCCTGAAGAACTGCCTTAGTTAAAACCACCAATCACAGATATAATGGGCTTTCATACCAGGGCTTTTACCTAACCAAATTACTCAGATAGTTGCAGTCAAGTGGGTCTCCTTCCCCAACCCACCCTGTTAATCTCATCCCTCTTTCCAAATTCGGTTTCACATAAATTTATTGACTCCTTTTGTAATTTTTCTCTTGCTGTATTTATGTAAAATGTATTCTCTGAAATTAATTGAATCTGAAGGTTGTACTAATTACTTTGCACTGTTAATTTTTTATGTAATCTGAAGAACCCGGTAATTGTTTCCTTGTAACTTCATTACAATAAAATATTCTAAATTCCTAAGTAATTAAAAGCTGGACAACTGGACAGTCCGCCCAAGATTTGACTCGTATGGGACCTTTCAAAGGTGGTGGCAGGCTAATCCTCTGGCAGCAGCCCCCCTGGATGCCATTTCGTGCCCCAGCTACTCCACTTCCATCCAGCTCCTTGTTTATGGCCTAACAAAGCAGGAAAGGATGGCCTAAAGCCTTGGAACCCTGTACCCCCATGTGGAAAAGGCTCCTGGCTCCTGGCTTTGGATTGGATCAGCTCTGGCTTTTGCAGCCATTTGGGGAATGAACCTGTGGATGGAAGACTTTCTCTATCTCCTTCTCTGTAAAATCTGCCTTTCAAATAAAAATAAATACATCTTTTTTTTTTTTTACGAGCTTTCAGATGTTTGTAATGTGGTGGCAGATCCATTTACTTCTCAAAGCAGACAGTAAGCAAGTATTTAAATGATAGTTTCTCTTCTTACCTCTATTGCTCGGATTACTTTAGAAAGTTCTTTAATAAGATGTCCAGGTCTAACATTGTCTGGAATTTCAAAGGCATGTTCAGATACCAGCTGTATACAGATTAACAAAGATTAGGAAACCAAAGTTATTTACACTTTACTATGTTAAAACTAATTTACTGAACCAAATTTTGAGTTCATTAGACCAAAGGCAAAGCCAAATACAGCCATGTCTCAGACTTCACACAGCATAATACTGCTAAGGAGATCCTCAATCCAAATATAAACCCCTTTCAGAACAGGTTAAAAATGAACTGGTCTCATAGGCAGTTCTGCTCTATATTGAGTAATAACCCCTGCCTCCACCTCTAACGTGATTCTAACTACCACTACCAATTAGTAAAATGATTTAGCATTCGCTACATAAGACAAGGAATTTTAAAAAGGCAAAAGCAGCTCTAAAGTCTTTCTAGTTTCTCTGGGAAGTCTAATTTGTTTTGAAACTTTTTTTATATTTTAATAGTCAAAAGTAAAATAAGAAAAAGGTCTCACTAGTAGCAAAGGAAGAAACTGATGAGTTAGCATATCTATTTTATTATACACTGCTGTCACTATTTGGGTTTGCTTATAATCACAACTTGGTTTTAGCATAAATTGTAAAAACCAAACCAATATTAAGTTCTAAATCTGGGCTCTGGCACTTCTAAGCACTTTATAAAAATTAACTCATTTAACCCTTTGGATACTGTTAATAAATATTACAGGTTCAGTTTCCCTCAACTGAAATACTTGGGAGTAACTATTTGGATATACACAATGAGATATCTTAGGCATGGGATGCAAGTCTAAACATACAATTCATTCATACTTCACACAAATACACATAACCTGAAGATAATTTTGGAGAGTACTTTAGCCTACCTGTGCATCTACTGACTGCCACAGGCGCACTGTTTTCTACCTGTAGCATTACAATGGTACTTCAAAAGCTTCAGATTTCGGACCTACTAGCCTCATGATCAAGAGCACTGAGACACAAACGCTTGCTTAGCAATAGCAGGGCTCAGTTTTGAATACAAACACCTCACTTCAAAATCCATGCTCTTAACACACCTCAAAGTAAAGTTAACAGATAAGTAAATGCAGTTTAATGTATGGATTACTAGTTTTTATTACTGAAAGCAGATATTACTATACATCAAAATCACCAGTGAAGTTTATTAAAAACCCAGGTTCAGACCCTGCCCAAGTCTATTAAATCCGAATTTCTAGAGAGCCCAGGTTTTTATATTTAAAAAGCTCTGAAAGCAATTCTGATAAACAAAGAATTGAGAGCTATTTAACCTTTAGCAGTAAACAAACTACAGTTTTTATAACACACACTTAACTTTGCTTTATCTTCTTGTAAAGATTTTAAATTTCTACATACTTTTCCTTGTCATCTAGGTGGTGAAGCCTTTGGTATTATTAAACGTGATCTTTATTTTCCTGAATGTGTTTCCACAGCACCTTGCTCTAGCAGTGTCAGTGGAATTATAACAACAAAGAGAACGGGAGCATAACATTATTGAGACAGTAATCCATTAATTATTATCTCCCAATTAACTCTTAGGAGCAAAATTTTTATTTCAAGTGGATATTCAAGAAACGAATTACGAATGCTTTTTCATCATCTCACATTTATTAAAGCACCATAAAGTTCCTTGGGGTTGAAATAAAGATGAGAAAAATGTTCCTATTCTTCAAGAGCCCATAAACCTACTAGCCTAATGGACACATTACCATACATAATCAGTTTTAAAATGGTGCAAGTTATCTGCTAAAGAAGGAAACATTAACTCCAAATGGAAAACTGGAGTGACTTCTAGGAGGTGGTAAGATTCAAATGATGGAAACCACAGAGCCAACTTGTGGTGAAAATGAAAATTTCTCACTGAAATCCTGGGCCCTCTGCCAATTCCTACATAAAAGGCAAAGAGTGTAGGCTTTGCAACCCCAAAAACTTACCTTTAAGTCCTAATTCCACCAGTTCTCTTGGGCAAGTTACTTTTAAAAAAAACTCTTTCAACCTTGTCTTTCCCATACGTAAACAAGATCACCAATAACATCTAGGTCTCATATAGACACTCTGAGTAAATGAGATCATTCATATATAGACTAAACACAGCACTTAGGTTGCATATGATTATTTTATGTTTATTTCTTAGTCATGTTTACTTCTTTTACTTCTTTGTTAATATCCTAAATATAACTGAGTGACTTTCTTCTTCAGATAATAAAAGATTTAAGGAAACACCTAAATAATTTAGTCATAAATATACAAAGAAACAACCTATACGCATTGCATAAAATGTTGGTTGTATTTAAAGCATGATTTCCATTTCTTCAACTATTGGCACTCACATCAATACAGCTTAAGAGTAAGGGTTCTGTTTTCCCAATCTTGAAACATAAAACACAATTCTAATGACTTACTTCTTTTTTCATCCATAGTTTTAAAGCAGTATGCAGTGCTTTTACTCCTCGTACTAGGTAAGTTTGAGGTTGGAAACCATCTTCTCTCAGTTCTACAGAAATAAAGAGAGGTACAGAAAATAGTTGATGTTATAAAGATAAAGGGAATAACTTTAAATATTGAAGACTTACCCTATATCAAGCTGAGTAATTTCCAAATTAATAGAAAGAAAAATGGACTATAAAACAACTCAATTGCCCAGCACCATAGCTCAACTAGCTAATCCTCCACCTTCAAGCACTGGGATCCCATATGGTCACTGGGGTTTGTGCCCCAGCTGCTCCACTTCCCATCCAGCTCCCTGTTTATGCCCTGGAAAAGCAGTAAAGGATGGCTCAAAGCCTTGGGATGCTGCATCCACACAGGAGACTCAGAAAAAACTCCTTGTTTTGGATCAGCTCAACTCCAACTGCTGAAGCCATTTGGGGAGTGAACCAACAAATGGAAGATATTTTTCTCTCTGCCCTTTCTGTAAACCTGCTTTTCAAAGCAAACAAACAACAAAACAAAAAATATATAACTATACCAAATTTAATTGTATTAAATACTCCAACCGAAAACTAAACCAAAATGGGTAGGTATCTGGCCTCATAGTTAAATCACTTGTTGAGATGGCTCAATTACTGGGTTTCTGGTTGAATACATGGTTCTTGGCTTTGGCTTTGGTTTCTTTGTGGGCATTTGGAAAGTGAGTCAACAGATAGAAACTGTTTCTCTACCTCTCAAATAAGATCAGCCACTATATGCTTGCTTGCTTTTTGCGAGGACAGGTAGTAGAGTCAGCTTATAATAAACTAAAAGGACTTATGCAGAAATGAAAGGGAAAAAAACCCTACAAATACGTATCTGATACCTACCAGATTATTAAGTCTTATTATAATAAAAACTTAATGGTGCACATGATAATGTACTTGGTGGAGACGTCTACCAACCCCATGGCACAGAAGAATGAGTAAATGAGTGTCACAGGACCCACAAAAATATCAACACATGAGCTAGAAGAGGATTAACTCTTACCAACTACAGAGAAACTATTGACTTTAAAATATGGTACTGGCACACACATGTATTTGTAAGAAACCAAGTGAAAATATATTCCCTTCTTATCACCCACACATCCACAAAAATTTACAAATGAGTTAAAGGGAAATGCAAAACCTTAAACTGTAAAAGCTGTTAGAAGACAATGACCTTAGAATGTAAAAGAAGTTCTTAAATAAACCATAAAAAGCACAAACCACAAAAGAATTTTAAAATGTTAAGATATTTTGGCCTTCAATAGATACCACAAAGAGAATAAAAAGAGTTGAAGATATGTGCAACCTATTACTTAAAGGACTAGAATTTAGAATAAAGAATTCCTGTGAATCACTATAAAAAAAAACAGCTAAATTAAAATATTGGCAAAAGACTTGGCAAAAATATTGGTAAAATAAAGGCACTTCAGTAAAGAAGAAATCCAAAAGGTCAACACATATGGAAAGAATTTTTCAATTACATGGATAATCATGGGAATACATATTAAAAGCACAAGAAACACTGCTTAGGTTACAAACATTAAAACTTCACAATAACATGTCGATCAGAGTGTAGATCATATAAATCTGCCATGGAAAATGGAACTGGCACAATCTGAGATCAACTACTAAATGCTATCTATTGGACTGAACCACAGTCTGTTGCGCATACTGGCATGTGCAGGAACTAGGGCTGGAGGAGGGCCTGGTGGGGGTTATTGGGAGCGACTCCAACTAGGTTGCAGTTCCCTCTGTGAGTGTGTGGTGGGCAGGGTTAGGCTGGGCCACAACATCTTTTGGTTTACATATGAGATGGGGCTGGGGACAGAGCTGACAGGGTAATCGCAACCATCAGGCTGTAGGCTGAGGTGGGTGATGGACTGAACCTGAATCAGGAGTCAGGAATCAGGTCGGGGATCACCTTTGGTGTGGTTTCTTTGGGAACCCCTCCCAACCAGACCACTAGACTTAAAACTTCAACCATGGTGAAAATCACAGGATCAGTGGTCTAACTATGGAAGACATGTGTCAGAACTAGGTCTCCTTGGTTGCTGAGGCCTGCGCAGTGGACAGCACGCCCAGATGCTCATGGGGGACATGACAACCAGTTAATTGAGGCCTGCAGAGGACATTTAATATCATGGAGGGCAGAGCAAAGTGGATAATTCTTCCGGTCAAGCTTTGACAGCAAGTATTTGCATAAACCAAAACTCGAAGGTATGCTATGTCAGCGAAACACTGAAATTCCATATCTCAAAAAATAACTTTCAAGTCTAAATAAAGGAATGTTAAAATATTTTTCTTCAACTAGAGAATCATAACTAACACTCGGTTGGTTTACATGACTATAATAGCCAAGTAACAGTCACAATGATGACGGCACAGGCATTTCTCAAGACAGGAAAATCATCCACTTGGTTTTTTCTAAAGCAAATATTTGTGAACACATGTTGGTAACATGTTTCAGAGTGAGGCACTTTTATTTAGATGCTTGATGATATGTGCAGGCTACTGGACTACTCGGTGAAATAAACATATTCTAAGATTTCCTAAGCTGTTCTGATGTGGATCTACACTGATCTGATTTTTAAAAGCACAGAAGCACAGGCTGCTAGGTTATGGGATGGAGGCTAGAATTTGCTAATAAGGTTGCCAATGGGCAAATCATGTATTTAAAAATAAAATACTGGTAACATTTGTAACACACAAGAAAAGGGTCTCTGTCAGGTGGCTTTTTGTGAAATGTAGAAATATTACATGTCATATAAAACAAAATGTACAAATTATTAATTACCTTTCAGGGTTTCCAGCAGATTTTTGGCTACAAACCAACATATGGCTTCAAAGAAAGGGAATTTGAAAAGATCCGGTGTTTTCAGCCTTTTCTCCATTTCATAACACCTAAATAAATAAAAGTTGAAGAAATATGTAATATTAATATTAGCATTTCAAGGTTAAATGAAAATAGCCAACTTGAAAATAAAGTAGGTCATGATATATAGAAGCCAAGCATGTGCTATATGTTAGTTAACCTCATTACATGTAGATAAGAATGAATTATGATCTTATCCAGCCTGTGACCTTAATAAACTTGATAGTCTACTTAAGAACTATTCTGAGCTTCAGAAAAGATCGCATCATGGGATTTGTATCCTAGTTTTATCAAAGGATAGTTTAAAAGGGTTCCACTGCGAGGAACAACACAGCTCCATATCTTGGACAATACTGTAATGTCTGCCCAGCCATTTTCCATTAGGCTGTCCTAAGATTCCAAAGTCAAGATCTCTCTTGACACTGGCCAAGGTGAGGAGATAGGAAGCGTAGCCTGACAGAGTGTCAGTCTTCTGTCAGAGTCCTTGCATAGTCCACATGGCGGGAGCCATCCCTTCTCCAGGGCCAGCTCAGGCACAGAAGTAAGAGTCACACTTGGCAGGTGTGAGACCTACTAAGGTTACCTGGCTTGTCAGAGCCACTGTCTCCCTTGACAGTTTCACCACACTTACGGAAGTCCAACGAAACAGCTTTCTATCAGGAATTTCTAGTTCTCTCATTTCTGATGCAGTTTATCAGTCAAGAATCAGTTTTACCATGAACAATGTTGCCTGGTTTCATTCTACCTGATTAAACTATCAGGTGAATAAAACCACAGAAAAGTCAAATTTTCACACAGAAGTACAAATAGCTGTTGATCCTTTATCGCAGCAAAATCAAGGCAGATGTTCTGAAGCAACCCCGACCACAGGGTTCTTTTCCTCAGCACCATGTGCACACCTAAGTCTGGCTGGATTTAGTTCATTTCCCTCACTGAAAAATAGCTAGAGGGGAACACATGCCGAGATTTATGTCAAATAAAGTAAGTCACCATTTTTATTTCAGAATGGAAATGAATCAATATGAATATCCCCTTGGCAGAATTTTTAAGTAATGCTTCAGTTCAAACATTCCTATTCTTAATCATTTGTGAAAGCCCTTCTGTATAGGGCCATGATAAACACTTATTAAATAAGGTATGCAGTGAATTTACTTGTTTTCTAAAACAAAAATGTCCTATTTAAAAAGGGCAAGAGTCGGGGCCCGGCACGGTGGCGCAGTGGTTAAGGTCCTCGCCTTGCACGCCCGGGATCCCATATGGGCGCCAGTTCTATCCCAGCAGCCCCACTTCCCTTCCAGCTCCCTGCTTGTGGCCCGGGAAAGCAGTCAAGGACGGCCCAAAGCTTTGGGAACCTGCACCCGCGTGGGAGACCCGGAAGAGGCTCCTGGCTTCGGATTGGCATAGCATAGCATCGGCCGTTGCGCTCACTTGGGGAGTGAAACATCGGATGGAAGATTTTCCTCTCTGTCTCTCCTCTCTGTATATCCACCTTTCCAATAAAAAAAATAATAAAAATAAATCTTTAAAAAAAAAAAGGCAAGAGTCTTTAAATACTAATGACACAAACCTGAGTTGCATGCCAATGTTAAGGTTGTGCAGGAAGTTCCCCCCAAAAGCCATACAGTCCTGAGAAGTGAGCACAGCATGAATCCACCCTGAAATGGTTAAAAACATGGAAATCGGTGATTTTTCAACATTCAGGCCAACTTAAAATACCAACATCAGTTTACTTCATATTCTAAAGCTAAGGAAGTCAATATTTATTGTTATCTACTGATTTACTCAATTAAATATATATTAGATGACTATTGTATGTCAGGCTCTAATCTGAGTTTGAGATACGGTATTTAGGTTTCTAAGTTTATAAGCACATTCCAGGAGCCGGCGCTGTGGTGCAGCTGCCAGCATGCCACATGGGTGATACTCTGCTAACATGCCCAGGAAAAAAACAAAGGATGACCCAAGTGCTTAGGCCCCTGCTCAGCCTTGTCCATTGCACCCATTATTTTAAATTGTTATTTTATTTTGATGATCTTTATATAGTTGATAAGGGTACAAAGTGTCAAGGGTTACAGGAAAGTGGGCAAGACGACTGTTTCCACGTTCTCTCTCTCTTTCCTTTTTTTTCCCCCCTGTATCTGGGGTAAGGGGGGAAATAAAGGGAGAAGCCCCACCCAGCCTCCCACCCATCCCAGGTCCCCAACATGGGGCATGCTCTGAGGGCACTGCTCAAGTGGTTTTGATAGTTCAACAGTTCTGAACTGCTGCCAATCGTGCCATTCCAAGCACGATGAAATCCCTCCAGAATCCACTGGCACTGCAGCCATCTAAGGAGTGAACCCAGTGAACTGAAGATTTCTGCTTTCTCTTTCACTTTACCTTTCAAATAAATAAATAAATCTAAAGCAGACAAACACACAGTTCAACTTTCTATTAAAGATTTTAGTTAGAAGTCAAGTCTGGTTTGGATGAGGAAAGGACCCCAGTTCCCAAGCATCAATGGTGAAGTGGGTGCTGTGACTGGCTCAAGCCCAGGTTTGAGAAGAAGACTAAGAACTAAGACAGCTCGGTGTGCTTTCATCAAGAAAGGTCATGGTCCTGTGAACTTTATGGCTAGCAATCCAAATTGGGCTGTGTTTTCCCATTAAAATATTTTCAAAGTAAGAATTATTTCTAAGAGATGATTCCTAGCTTTTTTGAAATACTAACAATTTAGAGAAATACAAATAGATGCACTTGTGTCTGCATAAAAAAAAATGCTTTTAAAATATATAATCTCATTTTCTTTATCTTTCATCCTTTCACCCCCATTGTGCTACAACACAATATCAAAAACTCCTCAAACAATTGGTTTTTAGGTATGCCCCATTAGTGTGCCCAGAAGCACAAGGCTTTGCGCTTGACCGTGAAAGCACAAACTGGAAGTATGTCTACCAGCTCTATAAATCCTACACCTGCCTGCCAAGGCTGCTCTGGCACAGTGGTTACTATAAGAGTCGGGGCGCACATTTTATGAGCAGGTGCTAGAAATGCAATATACAGGGCAGTTGCACACAGTAACGAATTATCCTTCGTCACTCAGGACTGTCAGATTCTTTTGGACACACAAGTACAGAGCATGTTAACTCACTGTCTGAGCCATGTGTGCAATGCCACTAACAGTACTCCCTAATCACTGTGATCATGGTGGGGGGGGGAAGCCCCAAACTTTCCAAAACATCTTGCATGGGCCACACTGCTGCAGTTGAGAACCACTGATGTCTACCCACACTATACACCAAGTATTTCTGCTCAGCTCTGCCACAATTTCTAAGTAGACAACTCTGTGTACTGAAAGAAACTGTAGTTTGTGATTGTCTATCAGTTGGCAACAGCTCACTAACGTCCTCCAGGTGTGGGCCCTCAAGCAGCAGCACTAGCCTCAGCACTTGTTAGAAATGCAAATTGTCAGCTCTACTGGAATCCACTTCATCAGTACCTTAGGGAGGAGGTCCAGCAATATGTTGTCTAACAATTCCTCCACGACCATGAGAGCTGAGAACCACTAACCTACACCAGTGCTACTAATGGAATCCGGGTTGCCCGCAGCACACACATGTATCAATTTCACGCTTAGGCAGCTAACTGTTCTGTTCTGATGCTGCTGTCCTTGCACAAAAACAAACTGAAACAGCATTTCATTACGTTATACTTTCATTTTTATATATTTCAGTTAGATCATTAAATCAATCTTTAAAAATGATCTGTGTAGAAGGTATCTATGAATCAATCCACGCTATCTTGTCCCCGTGAAAATGGCCTATTATAACAGAGCCCACCCTGAATTCCTTCTCTGCATAAGCACCCGACATCGTGAGGACTTCCCCACAGCCACATAATTGCTAGCACTGTGTTCTGGAATCTTAAGAACTGTGAGCTAAGTAAACCTCTTCTCTTGATAAAGTGCCCCTCTTTGGGCATCTTGTTACAACAACCCAAGATGGACTAAGACAGACACATTCAAGAAAGCAAAAGCATAAGCCACAGAATGGGGGAAAACATTTGCAAGTTATATATATATATATATATGCACAAAATAATGCTTACACACACAATAGTAAAAAGACAACTCAATTTAAAAGTAGCTAAAAGATATGGATTAAACTGAAGAAGATCTACAAATAAGCATAAGAAAAATGCTAAACATCATTAGTAATGAAGGAAATATAAATCAAAACTGTAACATAATCTTATTTCACACACACTACAAGGACAAAAATAAGAGATCATCATGATGTTGGCAAGGATATGGAGAACCTAGAGCCCAGAACCCAAATATTTTGCTAACAGGACTATAAAACACCATAGCTATCTACAGAATAGTTTGGCAGTTCCTCACCAAGTTCAACTACATAACACAGCAATCCCACAAGGTAAATAATCCACTGCTTCCCCAAATACTTCCACATAAAAACTTGTACATAAATGTTCAAAGAAGTTATTCATGACAGTCAAAAAATAGGAAAGAACTCAAATGTACATCAACTGATGAGTGGATAAATAAAATACTGTTTATTGTACAATGGAATATTGCTGGGTCATATAAAGATGAAGAAGTTCTATATTCTGTAGCACGAATGAGCCGAGAAAATATGCTAAATGATATAAGCCTAACAGAAAACACAAAAGGCTACTGTCTGGTTCTATTTCTACGGAAGTGTCCAGAATAGGCAAAGTCACAGCGACAGACAGTCCTTCAGTGGTTGCCAAGGATTCAGAGGAGGGGAGAATGGAAGTGACTACTAAAGGGTATGGGACTTCTTTCTGAGATGACAAAAATATGCTGAAATTAGATAGTGACGATGGTTGTACAGCCTTATCAATCCACTAAAAGTTGAAGTGGAACCTTAAAAAGGCCAATATTATGGCATGTGATTTTTATCCCAATAAAAATTAAAATGAAGGCACATGACATATCAGTCATGAAGAGCAGAGGGTAGGATTAAGACCTTACCTGTAGGAACAAATAAGGTATGTCCCTGCTTCACCACACATTTATAGCATTTGTCCACTTTATCTCCAAAGAACACTTCACTCTGGGTCACAGATGAACTCCAGGATTCATAGAGCGCCAAATTTTCATCTGTTGGCTTTATCAAATAAAAAATTTTCTCACCCTGGAAAGAAGAAAACATATTTCATTTTTGTTAAAAAAAAATCACCTTTAGATGGACAACATGAATCCAATTTTCCAATATAGTAATCTAAATTAACTTAGACAATTATCAGATTTTTTCAGGTCAAAAAAGACCTACTGCATGTATCTCATCAGTGGCTACAGAGCTTTAGAATTACTTAGTTGACTGACTGATTTAAAAGGCAGCGTGTCAGAGGGAGAGAAAGCTATCTTCCACCCTCTGGTTCACTCTTCAAATGACTGTAACAACCGAAAACGGATCTACCGTATGACCCAGCTATCCCACTGCTAGGAATACATCCAAAGGAAGTGAAATATGCATGAGAAAGTGACCTGTAGCCCTGTGTATACAGCAGTACAATCCACAATAGCAAAGACATGGAACAACCCAGATGCCTGTCCAAAGAGAAGTGGATAAAGAAACTGATACATCTACTCCGTGGAGTACTACTCAGCCATTAAAAAAGAAAATGAAATTCTACCACTTGGAACAGAATGGTCCCAACTGGAGACCATTATGCTTAATGAAATAAGCCAATCCCAAAAGGACAAATATCATAAGTTCTCTCTGATTTAAGGCAGCATTCATGCAAAATACAAAACAAACAGATACTTAGGGAAACAAATATATACGTATATTCTCATAGATGAATTAAGTAATGGAGACTTGCATATCTGGAATTGAAGATACCTTTCAGTATGCATTTCTACTCCCAATGAAACAGTTAAATATACTTCAATAACATGATGCTAGATTTTCTGCCTTTGCCTATACCTACAATGCCATGGTGCATCTGTATAACAAAATGTTCAACTTGGAGCTGTTGCCGAAGTACTATACTGCTGAATAATATGAGGAAGAGGGACTAATGAAAGCAAAAGGGGGAGAGAGACAGGTAGAGAGAATGGGGCAAATCCCTCTACCTATAAAACTGTAACATGGGGGCCTAGCACAATAGCCTAGTGGCTAAAGTCCTCGCCTTCAACATGCCAGGATCCCACATGGGCACCAGTTCTAATCCCGACAGCCCCGCTTCACATCCAGCTCCATCCTTGTGGCCTGGGAAAGCAGTCAAGGATGGCCCAAAGCCTTGGGACCCTACACCCATGTGGGAGACCTGGAAGAAGCTCCTGGCTCTTGGTTTCAGCTTGGCTCAGCTCCAGCCATTGTAGCCAATTGGGTAGTAAATCAGTGGCTCGAAGAATTTTCTGTCTCTCCTCTCTGTAAATTTACCTTTCCAATATAAATAAATAAATAAGCGTGTTATTATTGAAAAGCATAAAAAGAATTTTTTAAAGACAGGAAAATAGAAAAAAGGTGACCTTCCCAGCTGCAGTGGGGCCAGGCTGAAGCCAGGAGTCAAGAACTGCACTGGGGTCTCCAACATGGGTGACAAGGACTCAATTCCTCAAGCCATTCTCTGCTGCCTCTCAGGTGCGTTAGGAGGAAGCTGGATTGGAAATGGAGCAGCTGCAACTCGAACTGGCACTCTGATATATGATGCAGATGTCCCAGGCAGCAGCTTAACCCTCTGTGGCACATCATTCACCCTGGCATTGCCATTAGTAAAGATTTTCACAAGCTAATGCTCTGCCTCCCAGCTGATAAGAAACCACGCTGAACAAAAGAGTTGTAAGACAAAGGTAAGAGTCACAAACATCTTACTGACCTCGTCACATTTTTGAGGTATCAAACTTAAGATCTAGTACCTCAAAATGTTCATGGAAAGTATATGTTATGAGATAACTATGTAAGGATTTCAAAACAAACTTATTTTCTGATTCCATTTTCCAGAACTTTCTGAAGTGTCTACATACAATGTTAAAAGGCCCCAGGCTAGAGTAACTTCTGTTACTTTGTTCTTCCTCCTAAGATCTGTAACATGATAATTATTTTTAAGAGTTTTCTTATTTATTTTTATTTATTTGAGAGCCAGGATGCAGAGCGAACTTCAGTCTGTTGGTTCCTTCTCCAAATGCCCACAGCAGTAGGGGCTAGGCCACGCTGGAGTCTGAAGCTGGAAGACAGGAACTCCATCCAGCTCTGTCTTGTGGGTAGCAGGGATGCAAGCCATAATGATTATTTCTAAAGATCTGAAAACAAATTTCTTCCCATGAACTAATTGTTTTTGTTCACAAAGAAAAGGAATTGTAGGGGCTGGTATTGTGTAGCACATTATGCTGCTGACTGCAATGTTGGTATTCCATATCAACGTGCCAGTTCAAGTCCCAATTACTCCATCCAACCTCCTTTTAAAGCACCAGAAAGGTAGCAGGAGATGGCCCATGTAGCTATCCTAAGCCAACTGCAAGGCCAGAATCAGTTAGTACTGTAATTTTTCTCCTTTTTAGGTATTTGAATAACTGACTTATAAGGCTTAAAAAAAAAAAAAAACTTAGATGGGGGCAACACAAGAAATTTAAATGTAAATTAAGAATTTTTATTACTTGGAATAAAAAATAATAATGCTTAAAGGCAAAATAATAGCTCCTTCTTAATAAAGTAGAAAAACTTTCCCCGTAACAAATATCTTATGCAGCAAATGAATGTACTGCTGGAAAACATGGCAGTATGTTGCTAACAAGACCACAAGGAAGTTGTGCAGCCTTACCCAGAGGACGTGGTACCAGACTGAAGTTCCCCCAAAGTCGATGTGGAAGTCAGTATAGCTGTCTTCAACTCCCATGAGGCAGTATTTTTGAACAAATGGCTTGGGAAAGACCGAATCATCTGGCCAATAGTTTTCCACCCAGGAAAGTTTTCTAGCTATATCAGGGACCTCCACCAATTCAGACATCCTTTAAAAACAAAACAAAACAAAACAAAAACCCACATATATACCGTCACCTCCACGTAATACAAATTAAGACTTTTTTTAATAGGTAATAGCATCTCCCATCTCAACCAAAAAAAGTAATTAACCAGAAGTCAAGGTCAACAACATCACTTAAAACTTAAAACATATTTCATTTCTTAATATTCTGTGAATAAGCCAAAGCAAAATATACAACATTGCTACCACTAAAAATTTTAAAAGTCATAATTATATTTCTTAACTAAAATAAATATATCATAAAACCAATTCGGCTAACACTCAGAATGGTAAACCAGAACATCCAGAACTACTCACTTTGTATCTGAAAATTCAAGGCTGATCACATTTAGCACTTTTGGTCTGTTAGGATTCGTGAAGTATTTAACGTAATTGTGAAGCGTCATTTTGCTGTCTGCCTGCCTTGCCACATCAATGACATCTATCACTTTGTCACCACCTGCAGAGAAAAATTACAGTATTATTATTACTGAGTCTAAAAGTTGTATCAATAGATGACCTAACCAAAAATATTATTAAAGCCAGATTTACTTGGTATGATAATTAAGTCAACTATGAAGCTAAACAACACAAAGATTCCTCCTGTATTGTTACTTTTTAGGTCCAAATAAACCAGGAAAAAAAAAAAAACAAACACACAGCTTTTCAGGAAATAAAGCAGTAATATAGAGCTTCATAAAAACTGAGCATGAAAACCTGTATCAACTTACAAGGCTTCCTATATACCGTTCATTTCTTGTGTGCAGCTCATAGTAACAACAAATGCATTACACTGGTATCTGGAAACCATGTGATATTTTCCGGGTTTGAATTTTCTCATACAACAAATAAGAGAATTTACTTTTTCCTTCCACTTCTACAATGCCTAATGGTTTAAGCCTATTGTTTCAAAAATCAGAACAAGTATTGCAGGATTGTTGAGAGAGCTGAGAAGGACAATTTTTGTTTTCCTGATGCTGTTTTCTCTTTCAATATTGTTAAGTAATGGTTTGAGCAAAATTAGTGATTAGGAGGCAAAAGTAAGTCCACATTAATGCCAATACCCAAATGCCCAAATTCTGAATTGTGGTAAATTTAGTTTCCTCACAAAACCATGATGATGTTTGAAGGCCACTGCATTGCAACCCTAAGAAGTAAAGTCAATTTTACAACAGATTACAGGAAAAAGTAAAACTGGAAATGTGGCACTACTTAATCAAAAATATCCCTTGCGGATCTTGATTTCGTTAAGAATAAATACAGTTCTGTTACCAATATATCATTGAAGTATTTTGCTAACAACACCAAAAAAAGCACACAATAAATAGCAAAAAAAGTTAATTTTGAAGAAGTGTGGACATTTTTTCCTATTATATTAGTAATGTGTTTATCAATGCTATCTACACAAGTAGGTTTGGGTTAAACCTCAGCCTCATCCTCTCTTCAATTTTAGCCTCATCCACTATAGTCAGTTTTAGTAGGATGTAAAGCTATTACATTTAACTGGATTTCCTCACTGAAACAATCATTAACAAGAATTATCAGATCAATAGATAAATATAGAGACAAATTCTCAGATATTCCCATGCTAGGAAGACAATATGCTGATATACAATTCTGAGTCAAATAATCAATTATGTCTACTGTCAGCAAAGAATGACACCTTCAAATAGATACAGGTCAGGTCAGCTTTCTCTATAAACACCCTGATGTGAATGAACAAGATAACTAAAAAGGTCAAAAATATGTTGACAAACAAAGGTTTTCCCCTTGTTTCTTATGCCTTTCTGGGTTTCAAGATATCATTTGAAAGTCAGTATTCACCAAGTCTTAATGAACAGCTTTGAAAATAATCTTGTCTTTTTACTGTCTTTCCTCTAGGCAGCAGATCACAAAGCAGGTTTCAAAAGACCAATTATGCAGTTAACGTGCTGGCCTCTGGGAATTTTGCACAGTATTCCACAGATGTGGAGAACCAATCCAATTTTCCAATGTCTTATTATTGGAATCTGTATCTGTTCCTCAGTAATGGTCTTCCCGAAGCAAGTTTCAGAAAATCTGATAATACAAAGAGAGCACCAGGATGAGGCTGAGTAAATGAGGAAGCGCAAAAGTGCTTCATTCTGCTTTTCTGACAGTTGCAGGTCTGCTGAGGAAAAAAGTTTTGTTTTTTGTTTTTAATATAAATGCCAGTGAGTTTTGCTTTTCCTGACTCAGGAAACTGACCTCAATTAACATTTCTTTTCTTAGCTTTTAATAATACTAGCACATTATCATTACACTTTTACCATGTTTTTCTAGATATTTAAAGGTGCCAAGTTCGTACCTACATAACGTTCCACATCCATCACAGAAAAAGTGGGCGGAGGGAGCCTGAGTCCCAGGTCATCTAACTTAGGGACCATGATAGGGACGTCGAATCCATGTTTCTCCAGGTACCTTTGTGTCAGCTGGTTGCCATGCATCTTCACAGTGACTTCATCAGCACTAAGGAAAAGCATTAGAATTATGAGACATTTGTGTTGCTAAGTTTTTCTTGTTAAATGTCTTATTTTGATTTTATTTGAAAATATGGGACAGAAAGACAGCAAGAGGCACGCTTCTACCCACTGGTTTACTCCCAAAGTAATTACAACAAATAGAGGTGGGCCAGGCCAAAGACAAGGGCCCAGAATTCTGTCTACAATTTAATTTTGTGTGTGTGTTTTGTTTCCTTTCATTGTGGGTGCGGTTAAAAAATTTTTTTAGTAATATTTATTTATTTATTTGAGAGGTAGAATCACAAAGACAGAAAAAAAAAGACAAAGAAAAATCTTTCATCCACTACTTCACTCATCAAATAAGCACTATAGTCAGTGCTGGGCCAGGCTGAAGCCAGGAGCCAGGAACTCCACCTAGGCCTCCCACATGGGTGACAGACAACAACACTTGGGCCATCATGTGCTGCTACCCAGTGGATTATCAGAAAGCTAGATGGGAAGTGGAGGCAGGACTCAGCCCAGGGCAGTGCCCGTCCCTCCTCTAATACGGGTGTGGGCATCTCAAGTTACAGCAGTGCCCATTGCCTCCTCCCCTTTTAAAAGAGTTACTTATTTGTTTATTTGAAGGACCATGGCAGAAAAGGAGAAAGTTTCATTTTTAAAATGTAGTAATGGGTAATTCATAAAAACTATTTTCAGAGAGTTCTTGGGAAATATACTCTATAAAAATACTATGTAGGGATTTCAAATTTTTTCACAAAAATGCAAATCTTTTAATGTCATTTGCCACAACTTTTTGAATCCCCTTTAAATGTTCCATAGTTATCTGTATCAGTAATTCTCAATCTCTCACACCTAATTTTCCCCTTAACAACAAATGTCTCTAACCCTAAAGTAAAAATCATAGCTAATGTGATCCTCTTAATTCAACACATGTAGTTAGAAAAAGATACAAAACTCTCTAACTTTAAAAAGAGAGAGAGAAGAAAAAGACTTGCAGGTAAACTACCCTAAAAGACCGATGAAAGGGCTGGCACGGTAGTGCGGCAAGTTCAGTGCCACAGCACACACTGCCAATCAGGCTCCGTCTCTAACACGTTTGGGAAAGCAGCAGAGGATGCTAACGTGCCTGGGCCCTCGTGCCGCACAGGTGATACAGATGAAGCTCCTGGGCTTCAACCTGGCCCAGGCCTGAGTGTTGACATCATTTGGGAGTGAACCAGTGGATGGAAGACAAATTCTCTTTCTCTCCCTCTCCCTCTCTTTCTGTAACACTGCCTTTCAAATAAATAAATAGATCTTTTTCAAAAAGACATAATAAGATAACAGAATATTTAAAACTAGGTGCAACGAATGACTGAGTTAAGAGAAGTAAAAAAGATTAGCAACCACTCAATACAAGCTACACGGGAAACTGGAAGAACAAAAGCTAGGATAGAATCTAGTGTTAGAACAAGTAAAACCAATTAGATTACAGCTGACAAACTGCAGTTATAAGCGGATAGACCTTAAAATTTTGTCTCTATGACCAACATGTTCCAGGCATTATACTTTTTCTTAAAAAAAAAAAAAAGGAGGGGGATTGACTTATTTATTTGAAAGTTAGAGGGCCTGGTGTGGTAGCTCAGTGGCTACAATCAAGTAAGTAAATCTGTGTCCACATGTGGAAAAATAACCATAAAACACAACCGAGTAAAGACATTGTAAACAGTACACATAACACAACAAATGCTTTTTTTTAAATGATATGCACACCCATAATTCTATATAAATACTTCAAATATTATTTATGTGGGAAAGACTCTTAATTTTAAAATAGGGAGGAAAAAGAAAACTCATTCATTATATGACTTGTTCACACATTTTTCTGCTCGTCATATTCAGGTAGATACAATGTAGTAATTATTGTCATCTATCTTGATGGTAAACGATGAAATGATTTCTGGAATTCGACAAAATACCAACCAAAAGCACCCAGAACAGGGCACCAGTGTGAGCATCTGTGTTCATCACCAGGGCACGCCCTCACTGTGGTCACCGTGGCAGAAAATCCGCACACCAGGGCCCTCATTCCTTATTCTGGAGTCACAAGCCTACCTGAACAGGGTGAAAGCTGAGGCTCCTCTCCCTGAGAAAGCCTCACACTGACACACTGAATACAGAGCTCTCAGAGCCCCACTACAGGCCCACCTCGAAAACTCTGGGCCTGGGTTCCCCTCAAACAAGCAGCCAGGCAAAAGCACCCAAGCCAACACTTGCTTTATGATTCTGACACTGGTAAAGCAGAAGAGAATGTTTAAGGCCTTCAACGCTACAAAAATCATGCAGAAACATTGTGTTTCATATATGTTTTCTGTCTCTCAGACGACTTGAGGAAGCCAAAAATAGAAGCTCGTCATTATCTGTTTCTCTTTGAGAAGAAGGGGCAGAAGGAAAGTCAATAATCCTAAAAAACTGAGGAGAAACAGCAGGTTTTTTTCATCTCCAGATCTGACATAATTTCATAATAGGTGCATGTGATACTGTGATTTAAATTTGAATTGCATTTCCCTTCTGCAGCAAGCCTGAATATGATCTTTGTGAAAGCCTATCAAGCATTATCACTTTAAATAGATGTCAGGCAGTGAGTAGGAAATGGTCTGAATTAGCATGATTAAAAGCTTTATAATGCTTTTGACTCTCTTCAAGCCACAGACAAATACATTTCATTATTTTAAAAAACCCAAAACCAAAACAAAAATAGTTGTGTTGCCACCAAAAGCTAAGCAATGTTTGCTTTCCTGCTGCTGGCAGACCCAGCCTTCACAGATTCGAAAACAAGGGCGAAAGTGAGGTAAAGGCAAAACAGGCACATCCTAGGGAACCCAGTAGTGGGAACAACTGTCTCGGACAAGGGGATTTCTGCCTTGCTGACCCGAGCCACAGGTAGGTACATGTTGTACATGATGACTTAGCTGCAATATATTGACATTTTTCTGTTCCTTTTCACTGAGGGGAAAAAAAAAAAAGTGAGAGCAATAGTGCAGCCTTGAGTTTTAAAATACTGCTTTACATGAGTTCCTTTATCAGTCATTCTTATATTTTCTTTGATTAGAACAAGTACCCGTACCTTGGAAAGACTCGAGAACGCAATTCCTTAACAAAAGTTCTAGTTCCAGCCTGCACAGGTTTGGAGCCATCATCAATTTCTGTGTAGTCATGCCTATGCCAGTTCCTCCTCTTCTTCACTGGATTTTTAGAAAATTAAAAAGTTTTTGGTAAGCAGTCATATTATGTATTTACTAATAACTACATAGCCAGAAATAATAATTGTGATTAAATAAAAACACTTAAATTTTCAATGCATTTCCAGACTGCAAAAGCAAATTTTATCTAATGCAATACTGCAAGTATAAGCAATTAACTGAGTTTTCTAAACGTTGTTTCATTTCAAAATAATTATAAAATTGCACCAAATAATTCAAGTCAGTAGATGAGGTTTTTGTGATTTCCACATTTACGCATCCTATAGCATCTTTAAATTTTCATTGGAAAGACAGATTTACAGAGAGAAGGAGAGACAAAGATCTCCTACCCACTGATTCACCCCCCAAGTAGCTGCAACAGCCAAAGCTGAGTCAATCTGAAGCCAGGAGCTACCTCGGGGCCTCCCATGTTAGTACAGGGTGCCAGCTTTGAGCCATCCTCTACTGCTTTCCCAGGCTACAAGCAGGGAGCTGAATGGGAAGTACAGCACCCAAGACACAAACCAGAACCCATATGGGATCCCACTGGCATGTGTGAGGCAAGGATTCAGCCATCAAGCCATCATGCCAGGCCCCTATAGCATTTAAGTCATTTAAAATTATGATTTTTTTTTTTTACTAGAACATTCAGTTATGATTTACCCAAATCATCCTCTCAGGATAGGGCTTCCAAACCCACATCAATAATCTATTTTAACAGTATAATTCCCTTCGCTTATGAAAATTTATTCCCAAAATAAGTACAGTTACTTGACACAGAGAAAAGTACCAGAGTCATAAAAGTGAGATCCTTAAATAAATAACCTTATGATAAGTTCTTACGCTAAGAATCTCGATTCCACAGCTCTAGGTTACAACCTTGCGCAGTTGCAGAAATCAAAATCAGGGGTTCCACATGATTCCTAGTTCAGCCATTAAGAGCCTATGCAACTTTTGGCAAGCCAATTATAGCTCTTCTGGGTGCAGGTTCCTCAGAATGGGAATGAAGCGGATGGAATAAAGGGCTGACTTTCAAACTGGGTTGAAAAAGTCTTAAGAGAGGCGGAAAAAGAAGAGAAGCTCTAAACATCATTCCTCTTTCCACCGGGGTGGCAACCTCTGCAGCTCTTGTACGTGACGCCAATGCTAACAGTTCGGTTTTGTGTTTCATGTTCATTTGAGAAACCGAGCTGCTTTCTCCCAGTGGCCAGGATTAGGCTGAATGGAAGCCAGAGCCAGGAGAACAATTCAGGTCTCCCCCAGTGGTGGCAAAAACCCACACCTCCTCAGGCCATCCCTGCTGCCTCCCTGGGTCTCCATGAGCAGGTGTGGTCTCTGACTGCCCCCACGAGCCAGGGACTGAACCCAGGATCTCTGATTTGGACATGGCTACACTTTCTGCAGTAATAAATGCCTGGCCCTCAAGAGGTTTTTTGTTTGTTTAATTAACACTTAATACATATTTTGTTCATTTCAATATATGCATAAAATGTGTGATGATCAGAATAATTGATATATCCTTCACTACAACTACTTATCAACTGTGTTCTGAAATCACTCAACTGGATTTTCTGAGAATTTTTGTTAAATGTATATTTGAAGATAGCTAATAAGATGTCAGTTTTAAATATTTCTATTTTAAGCTTCTACAAAATGTATATGTCTACAACTTAGAAATATATTGAAAATAAGAAGGGTAGACTGTGAAATAGTTAAATATATACATATGCAGTAAATTAAGTAAAATTCTAATAGCAGTATCTATAAATATCACAGGTTATAGCTACTCACTGTAAAATTGCTTCCATTTTTTCCCTGTATGTTTAAACATTATTATAATGTTCATGAAAAAACAATTCTACGATTCTAACTTATTTTAAACTTTCACCTTATAAGGGTAATAATACTGGGCTTTTACATATGTAAGACAAGTCACAATAAATATTAAATACTGTACAAATTCAGCTTCTTCATATCTACAAATCTAAAATAACAGCCTCAAGTAATTTGTAGCAGGCAGATCTACCAAACGGAAGTTTGTTTGTTTGTTTGTTTGTTTGTTTTAAGATTTACTTAATATGTCTGGAAGACAGAATTACAGAGAACAATAGAAGGACATCTGCTGGTTCACTCCCCAAATGGCCCCATGGCTGGAGCTGGGTCAGTCCAAACCCCAGATCTTCTTCCTCATCCCCCATGTGGTTGCAGGGGCCCACCTCCTGTGCTGTGCCGTCCTCTGCTCCTTTCCCATGTGCATTAGCAGGGAGCTGGGTCACAAGTGGAACATCTAAGATGCAAACCAACAGCATATGGGATGCCAGCACTACCGGCACTAGCTTTACTGGCTCCCCACAGTGCCAGTCCTTAGGAGTTTCAATCTAATGAGAAAAATTCAAAGTCACAAAGTAATCTTCCTGAGGAATTCGACTAAGGCATTTCTTCGTGAGTTCCTCACAGTTACAAATCACTCCTAAACTTCAAAAATATTCAGTTCTTTTTTTTATTTTCAATAATACATCAACATATAATTCCACTTTATTTTTAACTAGAATCATAGTGTTTACCTACTGTCATAGTGTTTATTCCACTATTTCATGGATATTTTCTCCGTATTAAATATTTAAAAGTAATTTAAAGGCAGCCTAGAATTTTAAGATGTGGCTGGGTGTATTATAACCATTGTTTGATTCTTAAGTACTTAGTTCATTCTAAATCTTTCTTTAAACAAAGCTGACAGTAATATTCATATACATTAATATATTTCCCTGATATATTCGGGATAGAGTCCCAGAAAGTCAAGAAGAAAGATCAACACTGAAACACTACATGAGGAGTAAAACACAGCTTAGGGCTCCATATCCCCCACCAGAATGCTGAGTTCCACTGCTCACTCTGCCCCCTGCAGCTCCAGCCTCAGGCTGATGTACACCCTGCAAGGCAGCAGGTGATGGCTCAAGTGGTTAAGTATCTCTCTGCCCCTCATTTCAACTGCTGGATCCTGAATTCAACCTGGCTAGCCAAGCTCTTGTATTTGGGGAATGAACCAGTGGATGACAGATCTGTTTCTCCTTTCTCTCTGCTTTTCAAATCAATAAAATAGATAAACACTTCCCAAAACTGGCTTCAGAAAATGGTAGCAACTCACCTTTCAGTATTACAGAAGTGGCCTAATTTAAGGCCTTACGTTAACAATGAGAGCATCATCAAAATGCATGCACACACACAAAGCTCTCTATAAGTGAACTGCAGGGATCAAGCACTAATTCAAACCCTTTTAAATATTTTCTGTCACATTTGTGCAATGACAATATTTCAATTTATTTTTTTAGAAGCATCTATAAAAGGCTACAACTCAATGTTGTTTGGTGTGAGATGCTGGCACTGTCTGGAGGATGGTCGTGTCTTCCGGCCCCTGCCTTGGCCCTGAAGCAGTGTGCTCAGAGTTATCTTCAAGGCCTCAGCACCTCAAGAGAGGACTGCAAGCAGGAAGGGCAACTGAGCAGAATTCTAGATCAAACACAACACTGAGGCCCCGCCTCAACGCTGACACCCATTATGAGCTCTAGTTCAAGTCATGGCAGCTCCACTTTTGATCCAACTTCCTGCTAATGCACCTGGGAAAGCAGAAGAAGATGGCTCAAGTCCTGGGCCCCTGCACCCATGTGGGAGACCTGAATGGAGTCCTAGGATCCTGATTTTGGCCTGGCCCAGATTCAATGGTTGCAGACATCTGGGGAAGGAAGCAATAGATGAGTAATCTCTCTCTTTCTCGTTCTAATCCTTTCAAATATACAAATGAATCTTTAAAAAAGAAATGAGAAATTCAGGAAATGCAAGCAATATTGCACCCAACGACTTGGGCCATTAATGCCCTTATTTCCTCCTGAAAAATCATAGGCATTGGAGCCTGCCACATTGGCTCAATTAGTCAGTCTTCACCTTGCAAGTATCAAGATCCCAAATGATGCCAGTTCATGCCCTGACTACTCCACTCTCATCCAGCTCCCTGCTTATGGCCTAGGAAAGCAGCAGAGGATGGCCCAAAGCCTTGGGATCCTGTATCCATGTGCAAGACCCAGAAGAGGCTCCTGGCTCCTGACTTCAGATGGACTCAGCTCCAGCCATTGCGAGTGAACCAACAAGTGGAAGATCTTTATAATTCCTTCTCTCTGAAAATTTGACTTTCCAATAAAAATAAATAAATCTTTTTTAAAAATTTAAAAATCATAGGCATATGTGCATTTAAGCCATGTATTATGTATTCTCCAAGAGACTAGCAAGAGCTGTTACTTGCAAAAAAAAAATGGTTAAAAATCTGTTCCTAGTATCAGAAAAAAAATTATGTCACTTTACAAGCAGAAACCTTTGAAAATATATACTTGAATTTGGGGGTTCTACACTGGCCACCCAAACTGATGATATTTTTCGTTTATTCTTTGATTTGCCTTCACATAACATATTCTCTAACTAATCAGCATTATCAAAGTACTACTATGCACATGTTAAGCTAACCAAATTCAATTGTCTTAAATATCTAATACTTACTCAAAGAAGAGCCATGTAGAACTGCACAGTTGGGACAGTGATACAGGTCAATGTCAACGGCATGATGTTCTTCTACGCCAACACAGCTAAGATGAAGAAGAATGGAGCCAATATGTAAATAAACGCGAAATCTTAACTACAATGTTATATATGGATTCAGCTAAGAACTGTACAATAATCTTACCAATCCATATTGTAGAGTACAGAAACATGAAAGAGTAAATTTTATTCTCTTTTCTATACACTTGCTAAAGAATTGCGGGAAGAATAATAAAAATAATAACAAAAGAATTGTGGGAAGCAATACACTCAAGTCTATATGAAGTGACTCATTCTTAATAGGAGCACAAATCAGAAATAATGCAATTATTTAATTTGTGGCACGAAGAACTTGCAAACAGAAATGTATAGCTTTAAATACCTATGTTAGAAAAAAAGAGTCTGAGGGGTTGGTGTTAAGGCAATAAGCCCCAACCTAAAACACGAGCATCCCATATTGGAGCACAGTATGAGCTCAGCTGTTCCACTACCATGCAAATGAACCAAGGAAGGCAGCAAATTCCAAGTGGCTGGGGCACTACCACCTACATGAGAAACTCAGATGAAGTTCCTGGCTTAGCCACTTCAGGATTGGACCAATGGTAGATGATTCATTCTCTATCTCTCTCTCTCCCTCCCTTTTCAAATAAATAAATAAAGCCTTAGAAGGAAAGAAAAGGGCTGAAAAATAAGTTATACAACTATCTCAGTAAGTCACAAAAAAAGGGGGTAGCAAAATAAGCTGCAAAAACACATAACAGAGGGTGAGTGTTTGGCCTAACAATCAGGGTGCCATTTGAGACGGCTGTATCTCACATCAGAGTACCCCTGTGGGGAATAAACCAGCAGACGGAAGAATTCTCTCTTCTGTGTATCTGTAAGTCTCCCTTTCAAGTAAAACATATACATCTTTTTAAAAGAAAGACAAGTGCAGATGTCAACAAAACAGAAAACAAACAGTAATCTAAAGAAATCAAGTCTTATTTGTAACATTGCTTTATAGTAAGGGTTGGATCTCTGAATAAGGTGGGAGGGTGGAGGCATGAAGGAAGATGGGTGGGACAATGTTTCCATCTTTTTTCTCCTGTATCCACGGCAGGAGAAAAGTGAGGGAGACCTCTGCTGTCAAGTTACATCAGCACCCAGAGATGAGGGGACAGTCATTTGATGATGCCTTAGAAATCCCAATGTGGGGAAGTGTTCCCAGAGTGTTACTTGAGTGGTTTTGAGAGTTCTGAGGCATCATCAGCTTCATCGCACTAGTGTTGAGAAAATGGTTCTAAGGTCTATTGGCTGACCAAGTCCACTTTAGTACATCCACAGACCCAGGAACATGCTACAAAGCTTGGTCAGGAGAATTGGCCAACCTGTTCTGTTTTCTATCCTCTAATGAGGTAGCCGATGTCCTCTGCTGGCCTAGATGAGCTGGCTGTCATGTCCCCCATGTGTATCTGGACATGCCGTCTGCTGCACAGGCATCAGTAACTGAGGAGACCCAGTCTTGACACATGCACTCCAAGGTAGAACCACATATCTTATGATTTTCCCTGTGTCCGGGGTTTGAGTCCAGTGGTCTGGTTGGGGAGTCCCCCAAGAAACCTCACTTGGGGTGACCTTAGACATGATTCTTATGCATGCAAGCTAGTGCAGGGTCAGGTTCTATCCATCATCTGCATCACCCAGCACACATACCAGTGGATGCAGTAGCCTGGTCATTTCTAGCCCTGTTCCTACACAAACCAATGGATGCTGCAGCCTAGCTCAACCCAGTCCACCACAGACTTGGCCATTATGCACACCAGCAGGTACCATGCTCTAGTCAGGGCGACCCCCAACAACTTCACCAGGCCCATACTCAGCCCCTGTTATGCACATGCCAGCATGTGCTGTGGCCTAGCCCAGTTCATTCTGCATCCCATCTAATTCTCATGAACACCCACTGATGCTGCAGCTTAGCTCAGCCCAACTCATTCCCAGAATTCGCCCCACACATATGCTGATGGGTGCTATTGCCTTGATCAACCTGGACTGCCTCTGGTCCTGGCTCTCATGCTCACCAATGGAACTGTAGCCTAGCAGGGGAGTGTTCACGGTTCCCCTATCAGGCCCACTCCCAGCCCCAGATCTTGTACTGTGGTCCAGTCTGACATGCCTCGCCCCCAGTTCCAGTACTTGTAAGCAGGTGCTGGAGCCTAACCCAGCTGGTCCATATCCAGACTGGTCTGCCTCCAGTCCCAGTTCTCATGCTCACCAGTGGAGACAGAGGCCTAGCAAGGGAATCCCCAAAGTTTCTCTACCAGGCCCATTCCCAGACCTGGGTCTTGCATGTGCAGGTGGATACCACGGCCCAATATGACATGGCCCACTCCCAGTCTTAGCTTTTGCCAGCAGGTGCTATAGCCTGGCTCAGCCTGACCTGCCCCCAGTTTTAGCTCTCACCAGTGGGTATGGCAGCTTAGCCCTGCCTGACCCATCCTCTAGCCCTCATGTAAACCAGTGGGTGTTGTGATCCAATTTGCCCAGGCCCACACCCTGTCCTGGCTCTGGTTCATCCCAGTATGTGCTGCAGATTTCCTCAACCTGACCCAGATCTAGCTCACACATATGCTGACTGGTGCTGTAACTCTGCCTCGTCTGGCATGCCCCCAGCTCCAGCTCTTGCACTCCCCAGCTGGAGTTGCAGCCTGACAACAGAGTTCCCCAAGTTCTCCTATCAGGACCGCTCCAGCCCAGATCTCACATTTGCCAGTGAGTGCTATGGTCTGGCCTGACAAGAGCAGCTCCCAGTGCTGGCACTTACTAGTGAGTACAATGGCCTACCCTGACTGACCTGTACCCCTTGTGGCTTTCACTGGGCTACTGTCTAGCCCAGCCTGGCCTACCCTCAGACCTGACTTTTGTGAACCTGTGGGTGTCACAGCCTAGCCTGGCTGGCCCACCCCTGAACACAGCCTACACATATGCCCACAAGTGCTGTAGCCTTGCTCTCCCGGGTCAGCTCCCAGCCATGGCTCTTGCATTCAACAGTGGAAGCTGTAGCCTGACAGAGGATTCCCAAAAGTTTCCCTACCAGGCCCATTCCCAGCTCTGGATCTTGCATGTGCTTCAACCAAACCTGGCATGGCCCACCTATAGTCTCAGCTCTCACTGGTGGATGGTGCAGCCTAGCCCAGCCAAGTGCATACCCTGTCCTGGCTCTCTTGCATGCCAGGAGGTGCTAAGCCCTAGCCCAGCCCAGCCTGTCCCCAGACCCAGCCAACACAAACGCTGAAAAGTGCTGCAACCTTGCCTGGCCTGCACCTATCCCCCAGCCCTAGCTATTGAGCTTCCTGGTGGGAACTGTGGCGTAGCAGGGGAGTTCCCCAAATTCCCCTACCAGACCTTCCCCCAGCCAGCAGGTGTAGCAGCTCTGTTTGGCATGGTCTGCCCTCAGCCCCATCTGCATGTGCTGGTGGGTGCTGCAGATTGGCTCAGCATGGCCTCCTCCCAGCCTCAGCTCCCCTGAGTGTCAAGAGAGTTTCATGATCCAGCCTGGCTTAGCCCATCACCACCACCCCCAGCTCTCCCCAAGCAAATCAGCAGGTACTTCAGCCCCAAATGTTCCCAGATCTGATTCTCTCGAATTCTGGTGGGTGCTGCAGCCCAGCCTGATGGGCTCAAAGACGTCTTTGCTCAAAGACTCACAGACAAGTATTACAGCCTACCCCAAACAGCCTCATTTGTTTGTTTGTTTGTTTGTTTGTTTGTTTATCAGTGGGCAGTAGGCAATGCTATTTAGCCCAGCCCAGGTCTCCCACATGGGCAAGTGCCTTGGCCTGATTCAGACATGCCCTCTGGTTTCCCTCCTCTAAGCCACCTCATCTCAGCTACCTTGCCTCCCTGCAAGTACAGTGATCTGGTCAATGGAAGACCCAAAAAGTCATTCCTTCCCTGTCAAAAAGCCCTCAATCATTCCCACTCTAATATGGCCCTAGATCCTCTTCCCTGGGCACAGGCCCCCAGCCTCCAGGCTGGAATGGTGTGTCCCAACTGGAGTTCCCCACCTTCCCCACATTTCTGGAAAAGAAAATAAAAGAAAAAGAAAAAGAAAAAGGAAAGGAAGAGAAGAGAAGAGAAGAGAAGAGAAGAGAAGAGAAGAGAAGAGAAGAGAAGAGAAGAGAAGAGAAGAGAAGAGAAGAGACGAAAAGAAAAGAAAAGAAAAGAAAAGAAAAGAAAAGAAAAGAAAAGAAAAGAAAAGAAAAGACAAGACAAGACAAGACTAAGCAACTATGCTGCCACATTCTATAGTTAATACAAATTTGGCATTAACCAGGCCCAGGATGCCCGCCAGCTATTGGCTGATTTCTCCCAGCAATGTAACACTTGCCTAAGTACAAGGCAACTTAGCTAGTTGCCTACAGCTAAGTTATGATATTAATTCTTCTTAAATTGATTATTCATTTGAAAGACAGAGAAAGAGATCTACTCACTAGTTCTGGCCGCAACAGTCAGGGCTAAGCTACAATCAAAGTGAGGAAGCATCCATCCCTTCTCCTGCACATGTGGCAGGGGCCCAAATACATCTTCTGCTGCCTTCCCAGGCACGTTAGCAGGAAACTGGATCCCAAGTAAAACAGGCAGAACTTGAAATAGCATCTCAGATGTTGTCATAGTAAGCGATGGTTTAACTCACTGTGCCACAACATCAGCACCTACAGATTCACTTAAATACTAATCAAAATCCATGGAGTCTAACATGTTGATTAAAAAAAAAAAAAACTGTTTTAAGTATAAGGGGTCAAGACTATGCAAAGCAGAGACAAGCATTACTGCACAACAGGTGAAGCCACCACTTGAGATACCAACTTGAGTTCAAGTCCTGCATCTATTTCTAATCCATCGCCCAAAGCAGCAGTACTTGGGCCCCTGTCACCCTCACTGGAAGACCTGGTGGAATCCCTAGCTCCTAGCCTTGGTCTGGCACAGCTCTAGTTGTTATGAACATTTGAGAAGCGAACCTACAGGTGAAAGAATTCTTTCTCACTCTCTGACATGCTATCTTTCTAAC